AAAAATGTTCCTTTTAAAATTTCATGTCTTATTTAAATAGGTTTTAACACATCTAATATGGTATATGCTGGATGCATAAACATTAGAAGTAAAAAGAGTTGTTCTCTACAAACTGAAAAATGAACATTTGAATTAGAGGAAAACTTTACGAGAATGATACTTCTTTCATTATATGTCTACTGTCCCATTAAATGTAGAACTTTTAGTTATAAAATTTTTTTCAGTTTATGTGGCTAATTTTACTCTTATTCAAGTTTCACATAATGATGTTAAAGTGCTATTAGTGTTGGGAAATTCATTCTAACCATAATTTGTTTTACCAAAACACAAGTACATGCATATATACACATAGATAGGCACATTTACAATTCAATTTTTTCGTCACCTTTTTTTAGGTATAGAAATATATTTCGAGTAATTTTTTGGTAAAATAACTATCTGTCATCACCTTCTGTTTCAGACTTTTCCATAGTATGCTTTGATTCTTTTTTTTCCATTACCAATTTGTCGTCATTTAGGCAATAATTGAAGAAAAAGGAAATTAAGACAGACAAAGTTGAATTTCATAATTATTAAAAAAAAAGAATAAAATGTCAATTTGTTATTTACGCCATAAATTTGTTGATTTACATAGAGAGAAGGGGGAAGATGAAGATTATTTCTTTCATTAACAAAGAGTAAAAACAATTGTATGATGTGTTTTCTTCAAAAGAAATTGTTATCATGTTACCGATGAAAAAAAACATAGCTAAATGGATTAAATTAGTTTTCCATAAAGATCAATAGAACTGTGGAAAGACGTATTGGAATAATGAATGCAGTATCTTTTTCTATTGACTTTATGATGTGTAATTAGACTTAAACAAAAATATTATTTGATGGGTTCACTTAATTCAACCACTTATAAAACATTCTTCCTTATTCCATCTATACATATATATAACCAGATTAAGTTGTGAATGAACCTTCAGACTACATCGTTTGTGTTTTCATATACATGAATGAGTCTAATAACAAAGAATACACAGGATTCATTTTTCATTAAGATAATTTGGCAAACTTTGTACTGATATGCAATTAAAATGAAATGATTCCTAAATTGTAATTTGTCAAAATAGACGGTTCGTTGTGTTTTGTGTGATTACCCCGACAGAATTACCTAACTTCTGTTAGCTTAAACAAATCTGAAGAATGTTAAAATAAGAATAAAAGAAATGAAATAGGATGTAGGTGAAAACATTCAGTAATTATCTAATTTCATACAATATGACCCCTTGAAAATTGAATCAGAGCAACAAAAAATAAACAAATCGCATTATTCTTGCTTTGTATAAAATTACCTAATTGATCAATTAGACATAAGTATCGTCTAGTCAGGATTGAGTTTCTTCAGCTATGTTAGATATATCACAGCTGGTTTTTTGGCTGATGTTGAGTCAATTGATTATTTGTAGGAGAAATATTGGAGATCACCATCACATAATTATCTTTCATCTCTTTTCTTCCCAAGGGAATTTAATGAAATAAATTGCATTACTACTTATCGTTTTTTTTCAATTTTTTCATAAGTAAATGTTGCCTTTACATTGTTCTCTTAATATTTGTCATTGTGATATTCTATACGAACAATATATACACTTAAGAGCTAACCCATATAACTGTACACTTATCCATTATCCTCCAGCATACGTGATTGACACACATGAACACAACGATACTATCTCCATCAAACTGATTAGTAAATCTATGTATACAAATGTATTATTAGTAGTAAATATCAGAAATAAATTTGTCCAGAGTGTTACTTTTCACGACTTTAATATATTTGTTTTCTTCCCTGTGTATCGGAATAATAAGTAAAAATGAATTAGCTATCAAAAAAGAAGAAATGACTCACTTTGTCAACGAAATTCCAACTGATTATTTTATTCATTTTAGTCTGAAATAAATTACTACTTATAAATTCATTGTAAGTAATATAACAAAAGACTTTTGTGTGTATGAAGAAAGTGAACAGAAAGTAAAAAGGGAAGGAACAGAATAGAATTCAATCATTCAAATTATTTAATAATAAAAGTGACTGAATTTCTCGCTGAAAAAGTTCAACCACATTGATGAGGAACTCTTATTTCTCCTCTTGAAAATAGTACAAAAATAAATAAATAAGTAAACAGGATATTTATAAAAATAAAAAAAGGACAAGGAATCCAATTTATTTGATAGTAAGTGGTTTTATTGTATTAACTTCAGCTTGAAGTATTTATCATCAATACTTATAAATATTGAATAGTCTCATCTGAAATCATAACACATAAGAATAAAGATGATTAGTGATAAGTCTTGCTCCGTTCATCTACACAACAACAACTAAGAAACTATATTTGCTTTGTGAGGAGGAATTTAACTCTTTAAACATCTTCTAGATGAGAAGATGAACTATCGTTTTATTGTAATATAACTAATGTGAAAAGTATGAAATACAAAGTGTGATTTATTTTCTCTTTATATTATAGTAAATAAAAGTCAACACACTGAATATATGTATGCTTAGTATTCATTGAGTTATTCAAAGGGGGTTTAAACCAGGTTTACCTTATTGACAAGTACTAACAGATACGAAACATAGCCTGAATGTTTCCTGCTAACTACTTTTAATTACTTAGTAGCGAAACATAACGCATGTAATGTCAAGTCATCTAGACTAATTGCTACATTCCAATTGGATCGATAGAATTTAATCAGCCCTATAAAGCCTAGCGAAACATGGCATCGATTATTGTTGAATGGAGGAAACAGTGGCTATGAGTATGATCTGCCAATTGACTTCTTCTAGATGAGTGCACATTTTTTTATAGATATAAGTTATTTCCCCCTCAAGAATTGATATCAACTGATGGACCAGCGAAAACTATAGAGGTAGGATATCTTCCTAGAAATTCACGGCAGTGTCCATCAGTCGTGCCACACGGAACTGATTCTCATGTTTATATATATCAATTAAGTGGTCAAAGGTAATGGAAAGGAAGATTTGACTTAATCATGACTGGCCTCTCATATGACTAAGGTGATTGATTGTATATCACTAGAATTCTGTCAATACTAATGATCAGACATTATGAATTTACCTAACTCCATTGATCAATTAATGTTATTTATAAGTTCACAAGTAATTCATGTTTATTCACTTTACGAATACATATTTAGTTCAACAATTTACATATTTACAGTAATTTGTCAATGTTAGTGCTGTAAATATGAAAGCTTTGTAGAACCATTTAATTTTACTGTGATAAGATTATATTACCTAATTTATTTACTTATTACTTTGTATTTCTTAACGTGTATTTCAGTTACTTGTTTTTCCGAAGCATACCGTTCTACTAATTTTTCATTCCCTTTTTTTTACCAAGTCCCGATAAAAAGTCTAATTTATACCATGATTATCAAATTGATCATAGTTTCGAAATTGCAGAACTTTCATAAGTCTGATGGATTTGCGTTTAACCAATTAAGAACAGGGTTGCTGAATGCGATCAAATTATTTTTTAAACTGGTTATCTATTCCACCTGAAGATTAATTTTTTTAAAATTGAATATGCACTGTCGAAGCATTGGCAATTCACCAATCGAAGCAAATTGCTTATACTTTTCGATAATGTATAAATAACTCTTAATATTGATATAGATGTGTGTGGAGATTGTTCAGTGAGAAATTAGTTTTCCATGGATTAACATCACCTAGTGAACCGTGGAAATTAGGTGAACATTAGTCAACTTGTTTTATTTTATTCCAAGTGTACATTGCTAAAAATTTTCAAACTGGAATGAAACAACTGTTCATTGACAATGATTTTTAATGTTTCCCCTAAAATTCTCATAAACTAGTTGAGTAACTATTAAAAACAGAATAATATAAAGAATCTCCATGAGATTTCAAGGGGGAACTAGCAATATACACATTTTGTTTCTAATTGTTTCATCATTGAAATCACTAGATGTTTAACTGTCATATAATGGAACCGACTTATTGTTCAGCCCACTCGGGTTTCCAGTTGTCTTTTTGGGACGATGAGGATCGGCGAAAACTATTTAGACATTAGTTTGGGTTTTTCTAAACACATGTTGAATAAATTTTGATGGATTAGATTTCCAGGAAGTAAATAAATTCTTTAAAATAATCCAATTGACATTTAATGTTAAGTTATTGGCAATAAAAAATGTCTGAACACATATTTCGAACAAGCTAATACCTTTTGCCAATTGTTCTGGTCATAAAACTGACTGGAATGAGTTTTAGTCCTCTTAAAAATATCAGATCTCAAAATATTTGAGATAACCATTGATAAAATGTTACCTCTAACACAAGACATGAGTCTAGAGTTTACTTCTACTTGTCTCTATAAGTGTTTGGTGATGCCAAGTCAACTAGAATAATTGATTACACTGTAACTTGACTAGTAAAATTGGATCAGTAATGTGAACTAAAGAAAAGAACGTTGATTACTATGAAGAGACCGTTTAGCGTTTAACGCTCATCCACAAATAGAAAATCACCTTGATTCAGGTGAAGAAAATCACTAATCAAATCATGGATCAAAGTACTCTAGTGCTTTTTCCTACATGTTCAAACGTTTACCCCACTAACACTTATTAAAAAGACGAAAATTACTTTTGTATCCAATTCAAAATTTAATCACTTAGTTGAAAACCACCGATTACTTGGATAAATTACTTTTTTAATGTAAAAATTCTTAACATTGTTTTTCAAACAACATATCATAGCTGAAAAAAATTACTTTCCATGTTATATATAAAAATTACATTCGGTTTGCAACTTAAAAGAAAAAAAGATAATTAAAGTCAAAAAATGTAATTATTTAAATGCCATTCACTTACAAATAACTATCATTCATTTGTTCTGCTACATTTATTTTCACATCTACGAAAGATAACGTCAACAACTGTAGATTTATCCATGTTGGTTTTTTTCTTTATTTCAGCTCATTCAACCAAATCCCAGTTGTCTAAACCGGAGACTAGTAAGTTATAAAAATAATATTTGCAAGATGTGGTCTTCAAAATAATTGATTGGATCTAATTTAAACCGAGGAATAACGTATAATACTGTGTACGATTATTTGGCTTATTTATTTATGTAGAAGAGGAGTATGTTTGGGTTAAGGCATACCCTCACTCTTTGAACATCTTTTATGTCAAACGACAACGATACTAATTTTTCAGCAGATTACGATGAGTATTGTTAATAAATTTTATGAAGAATAACAAGGGGCATTAGATGTTTGAACCAATCACCCTAAGATCAACTAGTATTACTGTCCATCTACTTTCAGAAAATATAGTAATAACAATAAGTTCTTGATGATTCTTCAGCAACTTATGTCTCTAGTATCTGTAATAACCAGTCATCTAATCAAAAATATATGAATTCAGAAGCTACATATTCCTCTAATATTGGTGAGATGTTACAAAATTTGATAAATATTTATTCATTTCTGTCTTCTACCTAATCTATCAGATAATGAGGTAAAACATTTTGAAAGTGAATACGTCTACGATAAAATTGACAAAGCTAAACAAATCAAAATAGCTCAAGTTACCATCTTGAATAAAACCTAACTATAATCCGAGTTTATTTTTTACCTCCCTTATTCACCTTGTATTCCCGCATCTTCTCTCCCAAAGACTCTCATTTATTTATTCTTACAGTTGAGAAATTGGCATTGACTTACTTATCGTGACTATATTTTAGCTGTGAAATTATCATTTATTTTCATATATTGTTATCTAGAGCAAGAGAAGAAAGCAAGGATCTCTTGCAAACCATTCACTGACTGTTAGTATAAGCTACATAAAGATGCACAGACTTGCCAAATGGAGTCTTAAAACATCTGGAACTAGGATAATAAGGACATCAAGTGAAATAATTCTAATCTTTCTTTAGATTTGAACATTCAATTACTTCTTACTTAATTGTTTCAAGTTCACGTATTTCCCTTGCCTAAGATATTGCATTGTCTTCTTTACCTTAAGTGGTCTGACATTGGCTTAAATTTCGTAAATTACAAACCTGAATGAATGAATTATTATACATAGTTTAAAAGTTGTTATTTTGTTTGGATCCGAAACTTTTTAAAGTTATGCTTATGGGAATAATTGTTAATTTTCAGGTGATCATGGCATAATTTAGGACTTCGGAGACAAAGATAAAGTCAGATAGTTTTTTCGGAACATAAGATTAAGTGAAAAATGGTGAGATAAAAGCAGTGAGATTGACAACTACTATTTTTCCTCTTTCGATTATTCATGAAAATCATAAGTTACTTAAATGAATTTAAGTAATATAAAAATATAACAGAAAATTCTAAATACACTTCAGTAGTTCTTTTTTAATCTGTTAGATGTAATATAATTATTATCTTATTATTATCATTGCATCTAATATTTAAATCTGTCATTATAAAAAGGGGGTATAGTTGTATGAAATTAATCTAAAATGTACATTTTATTCACAGAGAGAGAGTAATTAAAAACATCAAACTACCTGTTATTTTATTCGTTAATTAAGTTAAAACAACTAGATAAAACGTTACGAGAGATGTTTTCATGGCAAATCAACTACTAAGAATGTAACGAATGGGAAACTCAGTTAAATTGTTGACCTGAGATGTTAAACAACCTTTCACTGAAGGGAAATCACAACATTCATTAATCTGATCATTTAAACAGTACGAAACCCATGTTTTCAGATAGTGAGTGGATTGAGAGTATCAGTCATGCGACACTTATCATCACCCTTAGTATTTTGATGACTACATATCATTACGATCCCAACACACTGAATACACTTTAACAACAATTATTTAAGAAGGCTTCAGAATTATGATAACCGCGTTATACATCCGATTCTTTTAAAAACCTGTGTCAGTTGTTTCTATATTATTTCCCCTTTGTTTCTTTTACATTTACAAATTTCAAGAGTTACACATTATCTGACGGAGTTTCTAAATGATTAATGAAATACATGCACTAATTGGTGGTCACATCAGTAGAATATTTTCGTTTCTCATGATTAAATTTTTGAAATGGATCTCCAATTATAGGTGTAATACATTGGAAACTGCTTACGCCGACATAAACCCAAGCAAATCTCCGTTAAAATCAATAAAAATATGCACATGGTTACTAATCAGTAAATCATACGCATATCCGACTTGAGATATAGTCATTTAGTCATTAATTATGTAGGTCTCACATTAATGTAGACACATTCGACACATCACTCAAGTTTGAAAGCTTCTTCCTCTAAACTAACGATCTTACACCAGCTTCTGTAAAAGATAGTGTTTGTTTTAAATCAAACAATTTGAATCACTTTTATTAGTTTTTAAAGATAAAAAGAGAACCATATTGATTATTAGATAAAGGGATAATTCAATAAGCTAATAAAGTAGAGCGAAATAAAGAAATCCTATTAATGCAACTATATTAGAGTGTATGTATACTATTAAAAAGTATGAAACATGTTTGGAAGTTTCTGGAAATCCTGTCAGATGATGTGAAACTTGTGAAATCTGAAGGAGAAAACGAAAAGAAAACTGAAACAGTTTTTGATTGAGTAAAATAAATTTACATTATCATTGAAACACTAGTTCATTTTTCAAACAAAATTCAAGGTGTTTTTCAATATGATTTCTTCCTTTTTATAAAAAATAACCTTATTTAGATATTGATTGTCCTCCATGTGAGAGAAGTAAGAAAAGAATAAGATTTAAGAAGTTTTGTCGTAACGAAGCTGGTAAGTTGAGCTATTATTATTATTATTATTATTATTATTATTATTATTATTATTATTATTCTCCTGTGTTCCAGTGCATGGAATGTTTACCTTAGTATATATTCTTTACTAGGAGACAATCTTAGTCTTAGTCACGCTAACCAGATATAAATGAACACAACTTTTTAAGTTTGACCTTGAACACAAAATGATCATATGATTTACTGACCTCTATAATCAACAAAAGTAACTGACTATTCTCTTATAAAATCTACATTGATTAAATGAAAAAATTATTTACAGATAACTGCAGTACAAATTACTACGGTTGAAAAAAACGACAAATTCAAAATGTAATTGATGTGCAGTTATCTGTTTCAGGACCCTCAGGCTGTTTGATGGTTATATTAAATTGTGTAACTCTACATTGTTTCAAGAATGTTTTCGTAAATTTCAGTCATCTTTAAACTTGGTCAATGTTTTCTCCTCTTTTCTCAAAAGTTATTACCATCCTTAAGGGACTGATCGCCAGGAAACTATGATGGTTCATTTGATCTATAAAAAAACCTGCACCTCCGAGTCTAGAAAGCCAATGAAAGCTTCATGATTAAAACACCCATCTCAAAGAATGTAATACTTTCTAAATCCTCCTCTTGATTTAAAAATCTTTCTCATCGTATTTATGTCTATAGAAATGATTAAAAGGCTAAGGAAACGATCGGTAAGCTCATCAAAATTTTATCCCTAGTCCACCTCCAATATACATATTCTACAACTGAGATGGTGTATTCTCAAGCTATTCCTCACTAGATAGCTGGATGGATGACATGAAACCGTGGCGTAGAGTCCTAGCAATTTTCACAGACGGTGATACATCAATAAGATAAAAGTTTGTCTAGATAACGCACTAAATGGGATCTGGTTCGAACATAATCGTTATCTCTAATCACTATCCCTCATCCTTTAACTTTAGTTAATAATATTAAATGGTAAAGCTACTCTCCTTCTAGAAATTATTCAAACCAATCGAATGCTTCTCAATCAATTTCTTACGAAATAAAACCAAATATCGAGGTAAAAACACTTATTGATTAGACTACTGCATTACCTTGTCCTTTCATCTCTGACCGTTAGTCTTATGAAAAACGATACTTATTATATGTTAAATTATTTTGTTCAGCCCAAGTACTAGATTCATAAGAATTTTCAAACTCAGGAAAACCCTTGCGTCGATCATTGTGCCACGAAAATAGGTGCTTTTATGATAAATTAAGTATTGTATCCAGATTACCACTGTCATAAATGGAAAGTTGGCTCCAACTGGACTGTTGTAAGTGAGTAGCCAAATATTACGTATCGACCCTGTTGAGTACACAGTCTTATTGTTTTTACTTGACAAACCACTGTTGTTCATCTATCTCACTGTTTTTACTGGGAACCAGGAACCACTACAATTAACACAAAGCAGTGATAATATGATAGATTGGTTCAGTGAACATTTATTGACTCCCCAAATACGGGCCTAATAACAAGTCCTATAATTACACCATCCTTAGATTATAATATAATCATCTGTATAACAAATTTCACGTACTTTATAACGACATATATAGGGAGAAAATACATAGGATTCATGCAAAAACACTAGATAAAGCTTACCTGAATCAATACAGGGAAGAAAACTGTTCACACTGAACGAGGGATAACACCTGTCACTTTGGCTGAAATTCATAGTGAGTTTTTAGTGGCCCGAGATCTGTTTCCAGGTAGATCGTTTACTGTTTGTTATCGAAATATACATGTCTCTAATTCTCGCATATAGTTATCGACCTAACTCGCGTTAGTGAATAACGAAATTAAATAAGTCAAATAAGAGAACGAAGTTTGAATGCGTATATTTTATACAATCGTTGATCTGAACAGACAATCAGGGAGACGGGGAGGAGGAAGAGAAGAGAAGAGAGAGAGAAGCGAAACTAAATGAACAACAGTGAAGAAGGTTAGTGAGTCAGCTTAATTTAGCCAACTGTGAATCATTATTTATAGTCAAACAAAAATAAGTTACAGACATATAATGAGTTAGGTAAGTAATTAGCACATATGCGACCATATAAAAAATAGTTGTCTGGATATCTTCAGGGTAATAAGTTAGCTGGACGAAACATTGGAATTATTTAAATTTCAATCGCTGAGACTATTTCAAATATAATTTTCACATATGATGAATTCTCTATACTCGGCTGCTTATTTCTGTCAAGCTATTCGTTCTAACCTTGACGACTATTCGTATAAATTATAATAAGTTTTGTTTACCATTTTGTTTTTCTAAACCTATTAGTACAGAATTCGAATTTCTCCAACCAACTGATTTACTAATAACAGTCTGAATACGATGGTTTTGTTATGATTGTGACATGTTCACATGTACTTCGAGTAGTAAACAACAAAATGAAATGTTGTTTTTTTCTGAAACACACACAAACAAAAATTGTGCATATTTACACTATACGTTCGTTAGTTTATTTTAACCGATCTAAATTTCAAATGGAAAACATAAAATTAAGTGGTTCACTTTCAGATAAAATTTGTGATATGATTCCTTAAAATACGAAAAAAAAACACATAAGAGGATAGCTAAAATCTGGTTAATAAATAAACTAATATAATTTCCTTAACAATACACTAAACAATCTTAGTTCTCATTCTATGAAACATTTCTGTCTTTAAAAAGATTTTATATGAATAGGTAACATATGGTATCAATGAAAACAATATACTTTGCACTGTAATTAACAAGTGTACATGATAATGACAAAGAATCTGGTGAGAGAGGTATAAGTTTCTATTACAATAAATCAATGAAAAGTGTAGTACACATGCATGTGAATCAACTAAATGTATGATATATATATATATATATATATATATATATATATATATATATATATATATATGCAAATATCAGATCAATAAGTTTATTCATACGACTTAACAAGATGAGATTTACTAAAACACAAAGAGTTGACAATCATGTAGTCTATGATCGGATTTTGATATTTTGAAATTTGTTGTTCATTCAGCTATCGAATTATCATTCTTAGTGTTATTGCTTTTTAAAAGTAATATGAGTGACACTGCTAATCCATGAATCAGATTAACTGAGTGGTAGTACCAATGTAGAAAATACGGAATCAAAAAAATTGAATCTTGGAAAGTCAGTCTACCATCCGTCAAAGATTTGTGTAGCGTAAGACTAATTTTCAACAAGATCTGGGAATTGCTATTTATTAGGGCTAATTTATCATACTCTAAATGAGATACATAATGATATTAAGTCACTGGATTTAGTAAGCATATAAAATTCAGTGAATTTCATCTCTGGGGAGGGGGTTTGATAGTATAATAATGATAATTGTTCAGTGTTTAATTAAGGAAAATGAAGTTCCCTGAAAATTCAGATAAATTTCATATATGAATACCAAGGTTATATGGAGCCTACTTTTCAGGCCATTCTATGGTTCATCTGAATCCGTTTACTGTTGAATACTGCGTCATGTGATAATGGGTTAAATAATGAGTGACCCACTTTCACTTCTTAATTGATGCTTCTGCATGTATAGTGGAAAAAACTACATCGTAACATTGATTAACTTCCAACAAGCAAGAATTGACAACTAATGTTAGTTTATGCACAGATACATCTGTCACAGTATTGTTGTTGTAATTCAAACCTATCTTTTGATTAATCTAAACTAAACACTCTATTTTCTTGATAATTACGTTCTATCATCAAGGAGAGTAACTAGAATAAGTGGTAGTAACAATATAACATTAATTAAAATTAGATTACATAATACTTTCTGTAGATTACTTAATTAATTTGAATAATTTAAGTTATTAACAGAGCCAGAAATGTTTGTAAAAAAAGAATATCATAAACTAGTACTAAATCATAGATTGATCAAGCCTATCTATCAAGTTGACCCATCACTCCTAGATTATATTAATGCCTTAAGAATTGTATCCTGTCTTTTTAAATAATAATAATAATGATTACTAATATTATTATCAGGTATGTTCTGATATTCTAGCAAATATTATAGTCTCTTTAATATAATAAAGTATCAATCTGTAGAATAAACTCTAATTAAGGTATTTTTGATTGATTCACAATTTCAGTTAAGGAGTTTTATATTATTGGTTGTTTATTTATGTCAGTAGAATAGGATTTGTAGGTGATCGAATTAAGCTTATGTAACTGAGTGATGTAATGGCGAACGGTCCTTCAGCCTTTATATTCGCTTTCGTTTGACAGGAGAATTATTATTCAAGCAAGACAATCTAGATGAAAAAAATTCACCTTTCTTTTTATCCACTTCTGATTAATTTCAATGAACTTGAATTATGACGAAACGTAAGAACACGGAATTCCACATATAGCCACTTATAATACTATGTAATTATACCAAAATCAAGATGTAGTTTTCAGTCAAGTCATATGATATGGTTTACTTAGTATTTAGTAATTTATCTAAAGGTTGACTCCATATTCACCATTAGTAAAATGGTTAACCATCCAATGAAAGGAGAGTCATATATCAACAATATGAACAACATAGCTATTAATACCTTGATCTATGTGAGCATCTGTTTCCATCAACAATTTTCGCTATCAAAGGAATTGATAATAACATAATTTATGTGTTATTTTTCTCTGACTGAAAAAAAGCTAACTCTTTTCTTATTTATATCCAAAAGGTTACATTAGGGTATCTTATGTAAATTTACTAAAAAAAAGTGATTGGTGGTTGAAATTAGTTTTGCATGTTGCTAAATAAAACCTTGACGTTGTTGTTTAAAAATTTAGTGTTTTATCAGTGATGAACAGTTTAACTATGTTGAGCTGAAAGTGTAAATCGTTGTTTTTCTATTGGATATTTTACAGTTTTATAAAACCATTTTATGGTAAACAGTTTCACAGAAGAGACCAACCTTAATAATTTCTATTGAATTCATATCATCAATAAAATTTTATCCTTCGGAATTTTCATCAGTTATAAGTCATAAGTAAAAGTGTTAAAGTCAGCCAAGTTCAAACTCATATACAAGGCTTGATAAGTCGATCTTATCACATTGTAGATGGGAAAAATTCTAACTCTCTCCCCCTCCAATTCAAAGTAGGAGCTACCAGTAGTTTCCAACTTGTTAAGCAAGTAAACTTAATGTATTTTTGTTTAGGTGAAATCAAGTGAACTTTAAATAATCATGCATTTAAATTAACTTTCAGAATTTGAATTTAGTGTGATAACATTGAAATTATCTTTTTCTTAACTGGTTCAGCAATCTAGTAGAGTTTTCAACAAATAACTCAATGAAATTTATTTCACATTTATTCAGTAACATTACAATGAACTTTAAATAGATTATTACATTTAAATTAAAATGAAGAGCAAAATGAGTTTCAAACAAAAACTTTCACAGTTGAACAACTGGTGGAAACTATGATATAATTTAATTTAAAATAGTTTGGATTATCCTATTGTTAAGAATTTTGGCTGAATTATGATCAGTCTTCGTTGACATATGTGTATCGTGTGTAGATTGTCTCTAAATAGTCATTATAATACAAGTTAATATAGAATAGATGGAATGTGGTTAGGAATGGAATGGAAGATATGCGTTTCTTACTACTTGGGACTTGTCGGTCAGATGTACTTTGTGGGGGCTAAATCTGTCTTCAATTAGATCGTATGAATGATTGCTGTCAAAATATATATCCTGGCTATCCTCGTATGTAATAAATGACTTAATCCGCGTTGATGAATAACGGAGTTAAAAAAGTCAAATACGAGAATAGATTTTGAATACATATATTTTGTACATTAACTGATCTGAACAGGAAATCAGAAGGATTAAGCGAATAGAAGAGAGCGAAGCACAAATATCACGCATTGGAGATGGCGGGTAGTCAGATAAAAATAAGTTACAGATATATGATGAATAGGATAAGAAGTGTACACACACATACGCTCATATAAAAAAATAGTCAGGGTTAATAAGTGAATAATTAACGTGGTCAAAACGTGACTCATGATGGATACGTAAATTGGCTTGTCCAGAAGCTAAAATAAGGTATATGGGCATAACACATCAACCGACACTACAATCTGCATCCCAAAGCCGATGTTCATTCTAGGACTATAATCCAGTACCATATGCTTGAAGATCGATCGCCCTATCTACTTAACTACTGAGTGATAGTTTAAAAGTCAACCAATTCATGACTTCAGCCAACTTATTCCTTAGTGTTATATGTTTTATTATTTTCATAAAATAACCACGAAACTTAAGGATTTTTAATTCTCCTCTATAGCTTTCGAGTATTTGTTGTCAGAAATAGTTTATTGAGGAATAATCAACAACTAACACATTCAATTCTATTGGTTAGAAAACCGTTGCCAGTAAAGAAAATCACTAAGACGTGAACCAGACAGCAATAAAATATGATCATAAATCCCGACGTATTTAGAATAAATAATCTATTGATGATTAAAACTAAAATTAGTCTCAATGATATTTTAAAGAATGAATCGGTCTATAACATGTGGGTTCTTTTCATTTTAATTAAGCATATTTATACAAATCACAAGAAATAACAAGTCCTATGGTGAACATTTTGCATTGTTAATGAATAAGGTATAATATATCACGTTAATAAATTTATTTATTTCCATAGTGTTTCGTGGCATAGTCAAATCTCGAACAATTCATGGAGACTTAATGCGTCTTGAAGTCGGCATTCAAAACACATGGCGTATTACTGGAACAGCTGAACACTTATTACCTAAAACAGCATCGCCAAATCTACCAGCCTATCGAGTTTGGTTACGCATCAAAAATAACTCAGCAGATAAACGTCATTCACGATGTCTATGTCCTAACCTCCAAGTTGGTCAATCTTATTTGTTCATAACACGTTCGCATCAGGTATTATGAAATAATTTTAATGCTGATTTGTGTTCATGGTGAATTATTTTGTATATGAAACAACTTTTATATAAGTTTATATTTAAAGAAATATAATTAAGACACAGATAACAAGAACAATACATGCTCACAATGAGATAATCGTATATCAGTCAAGTAGTGTTGATTATTCAGTAGTTCGATTAATTAAAAAGTCATCTATTTTTTGACTGAGTCAAGTTTAATTTCGTCAGTTAGAAAATCCAGATATCACTTGAACTACTAACGATCATTCATCAAATAATTAAGGTCTATTCTTCTTCCTCATTACCTGTCTACAGTTTTCTTGATACCACCTTTAATACAACCTTTCTACTATACAATTTTGCTGTAATTGTTTGTTTGGACTTACTTACGCCTGTTACCCCTCGTCGAGGAGCATAGGCCACACACCAGCATTCTCCATCCAACCCTGTCCTGAGCAATCCTTTCCAGTTGTTATTCATCCTTTTCATATCTGCTTCCATTTCCCGGAGTAATGTGTTTTTCGGCCTTCATCTTTTCCACTTCTCTTCAGGATTGCAAGTTAGGGCTTGCCTCCTGATGCAGTTTGATTTCCTCAATGTACGTCCTATCCACTTCCAACGTCTTTTCCTAATTTCCTCTTCAGCTCGAAGCTGGTTTGTCCTCTCCCATAAAACGCTATTGCTGATAGTATTCGACCAGTGAATGTTGAGTATTTTGCGTAGACAATTGTTTATAAATACTTGTACCTTCCTGATGATGGCCGTAGTAGTTCTCCACGTTTCAGCTCCATACAGTAGAACTGTCTTAACGTTCGTATTGAAGATTCTGACTTTGAAATTGGTTGAGAGTTGTTTTGAGTTCCATATGTTCTTCAATTGTAGGAATGCAGTTCGAAGTCTACCAAAAATTTTTAATTGTTATAAGTGAAAAATAGCCTAAGTGGATTCACGCGTCTAGTAATTATTCTTGAAAAAGATCACTTTTCCGTGTTAAAGAACAGTTCGTTAGTCAGAAAATATTGGACGAAACTAGATAATCTGATGCAATTTATGAGTAATCTCCTTATTGTATGAGGCCTTACTGTACCATGAATCTGTCTAAACTATAAACTTATGATTCTTTGACAATTAACCAAATGGTCATTTCGACTAGCCATAGCTCTGTAAGAAGCTACGCTCAAACACATATCTGCTTCAGTTTCTCGACGTAGTGTGTTCTTTGACCTTCCTCTTTCCCGCTTCCCCTCAGAATTCCAAGTTAGGGATTGTCTCGTAATGCAGTTTGGTGATTTCCTCAATATATGTCCTATCCACTTCCAACGTCTTTTCCTCCAAACAAACAAAATAATATAGATGGATTATCAGTTAAACTTGATAGGTTATTGGAGGTAAGAGATGCAACACTCAAGTCTCGTGGTCGTAGAAAGTTGTGGCGCTTATTTTAAGGTGCATGATCCTCTTTGTGGGATTGAAACTCTCATCACTCACTATTACAGGTAAAGACATTACTAGCAACTAAATTCCTGATAAGTTAGGACACACTTTAAAACGATAGACAGATCTTTATCAGTACTAAGGAATAAACAGATAATATAAATTACTAATCAGTGATCAATCAATGTACTCAAATCTTTACTTGATAAGTGAAAAGCAACAAATAAAATAATAGCGAAAACACTTTTGTGGTGCAGTCATTCAGGATTATTTCTGAATGATGAAGCTATAAATGTTAAATAAACAGATAAAAAAATTATTACTTTGATAATCTGATAATACCAGCTACTGTTGAAATTTTCGATATGAATTTCATTTGATTTTTAATTTTAGAAAATAAATCCATTTTCTATATAAGAACTTCCGTCTTAATTAGAGCGAATAGTTTCACAGTATTTGGGCGCCAAGTTGATGTAAGACATTAAATAGAAATAATATATTTGTAAAATCTCAGCGAATGGAATATCCTTGAAAAAGCTTGGACCAGATTGTCAGGCGAAACGTTGGATTTACTTCAAATTCATTCGCTGAGATTTTACAAATATATTATTCCTATTTAATGTCTTAAATCCATTTACACTTAACTTAATGTTGTTGGTATACCAATTGAAATTTCCAAGGCAATAATCATTCATTCATACTTCATAATAATATTTAATTGGTCATCGAGAACAGTGAAGACCTTTTCAAAATAGAAATAAAGAAACACTTATTATTGTAAATGAATCTAATTAAAATAGTTCGGTTTTACATTGTTATCGATTGCATGTTTTGATGATAACCAACCGTGCACATTTACCAATGAAAGTTGATTATTCCGACTCAATAAATCAATAAAGATGATAAAATATCAAACTTCATTTGTAATTCACATTTCCATACACGCTTTCTGATCAAATTAGATAGAACATTGTAGAAGAGGGAGGTTTTATCAAAGGTTAACATTAGTATACGTGACTGAATATCATAAATCAGTGACTGAATAAGAGCTTAAACAATTTGTCAAGTGAAAATTCTTACTCTACTATTGAACTGATTAGGATACAAACAGAAATGAAACCGAATTTACAGTGTATGGATATTTCCAAGATGAAATAAAACTGGTATAGATTAACTGAAGATGCGTTTTGTTTAATATTCTAAACTATAAAATATTCAATTCAGTTGATCAGTTTAAAAGACACTCATTCTTGTAGGAAATGAGATTAAAAATTAAATCATAAAGAACTAATTATCCATGACTAGGTTTAAAAAATGATTCCATGAAATTTACAACACTAATTAGCCATTCTGATGAATTACCAATAAATATAATATTACTCACTTATCAGGTCAAGGTTTATGTACTCAGCTTTCAGTCACACTTGCTTACTTACTTACTTACGCCTGTTACCCCTTGTGGAGGAGCATAGGCCGCTCACCAGCATTCTCCATCCAACCCTGTCCTGAGCAATCCTTTCCAGTTGTTATTCATCCTTTTCATATCGGCTTCTATTTTCCGGCGTAGTGTGTTCTTTGGCCTTCCTCTTTTCCGCTTCCCTTCCGGATTCCAAGTTAGGGATTGAGTCGTGATGCACATTGGTGATTTCCTCAATGTATGTCCGATCCACTTCCAACGTCTTTTCCTAATTTCCTCTTCAGCTCGAAGCTGGTTTGTCCTCTCCCATAAAACGCTGTTGCTGATAGTATCCGGCCAGTGGATGTTGAGTATTTTGCGTAGACAATTGTTTATAAATACTTGTACCTTCCTGATGATGGCCGTAGTAGTTCTTCACGTTTCAGCTCCATACAGTAGGACTGTCTTGACGTTCGTATTAAAGATTCTGACCAACGATGCTCCACAGATACTTGAATGTTTCCACCTCTTCCAGAGTTTCGTCATCAAGTGTGATTGGGTTGGTGTTCTCCGTGTTGCATTTGAGAATCTTGCTTTTTCCTTTGTCAATGTGGAGGCCTATCGATGCGGAGGCTGCTGCCACATTTGCTGTCTTCATCTGCATTTGTTTGTGTGTATGAGAGAGGAGGGCTAGGTCATCTGCGAAGTCCAAATCATCTAATTGATTCTGAGCTGTCCATTGTATTCCGTATTTCCCTTCAGATGTCGAATTCGTCATAATCCAGTCAATCACTAGAAGGAAGAGAAATGGGGAGAGTAGACAGCCTTGTCTGACTCCGGTCCTTACTGGAAATGCATCTGTCAGCTGACCTCCATGCACCACTTTGCACTGTAATCCCTCGTATGAGTTTTGGATAATGTTGACAATCTTTTCAGGAACTCCATAGTGTCGAAGAAGTTTCCATAATGTTCTCCTTTCCTCGCTGTCAAACGCCTTCTCATAGTCAATAAAGTTGACGTATAGTGATGAGTTCCACTCAACTGATTGTTCAACGATGATCCGTAGTGTCGCAATCTGGTCTGTGCACGACCGATCCTTACGGAATCCAGCCTGATGATCCTAAGTTCGGCGTCTACTGCGTCTTTCATCCGATTCAGCAGCACTCTGTTGAAAACTTTTCCTGGTACTGATAACAAACTGATACCTCTGTAGTCCTCACATTGGCTCAGATCTCCTTTCTTTGGTATCTCGATTAGGTATCCTTCTTTCCAGTCCGTTGGCACTTGTTCCTCTTCCCAAATCTTCTTGAATAGAAGGTGAAGCATATTTGCAGTTATTTCAATGTCTGACTTCAGTGCTTCTGCTGGTATATTGTCAGGTCCTGCCGCCTTCCCACTTTTGATTTGTCTGATGTCCATCTTGACTTCTTCGATCGTTGGTGGAGTGACATCTATTGGAAGGTCTGTGTGGGCTGCTTCGATGTTCGGTGGATTCAATGGGGCTGGTCTATTCAGCAGTTCCTCGAAGTATTCTGCCCATCATTTCCTCTGTTCTTGAATCTCCGTGATTGTCTTTCCTTCTTTGTCTTTGACTGGTCTCTCTGGTTTGCTATATCTCCCTGCCAATTTCTTCGTTGTATCATATAGTTGTTTCATATTCCCTTCTCTTGCAGCTTTTTCCGCTGCCGTTGCTAGTTCTCCCATGTATTTCTGCTTGTCGGCTTTAATGCTTTTATTCACTTCCCTGTTTGCTTCTGCGTAGTCTGCTTGTGCTTCGACTTTCTCTACTCGTGTTTGGCTGTTGTTAATTGCTAGTTTCTTGTTCTTCCTTTCTTGAATTTTGTCCAGGGTTCCCATAGAGATCCATTCCTAGTGATGATGCTTCTTAGGACCAAGAACCTCCTGACACGTTGAAGTTAGTGCTTCTTTTATCCCTTTCCAGTTGTCCTCCAAAGTAGTTTCTTGTTCTTTCAGTAGATCCTGTAGAGCTTGGAACCTGTTGTTGAGAGTTATCTTGAATTCATGGAGCTTGTCAGTATCTCGAAGGAAGGCTGTATTAAACCTTTGTAGTGCTGTTTGTCCAGTTTTCCAGTGTTTCTTAAGCTTCAGTCTCATCTTGGCCATAACCAGGTGGTGATCTGAAGCTATGTCAGCTCCTCTCCTGGTTCTCACATCTTCCATTGATCTTCGGAATTTTTTGTTGATACAGATATGATCAATCTGGTTCTCTGTGGTGTGGTCCGGTGAGATCCATGTAGCTTTGTGTATGCGTTTGTGTGGGAATATTGTGCCGCCTATAACCAATTTGTTGAAAGCATATAGGTTTGCAAGTCTCTCCCCATTTTCATTTCTCTCTCCTAGTCCATGTCGTCCGATTATATCTTCATATCCTGTGTTGTCCACTCCAACTTTAGCATTTAGATCTCCCATCAGGATGGTGAGGTCCTTTCGTGAGCACTTTGCTACAATTGATTGCAGCCTCGAGTAGAACTGATCTTTATCATCGTCGTTGCTATCATTGGTGGGTGCATAACATTGGATAACGTTCATTGTGATCCCTTGATTCTTTGTTCCGAATGATGCTTTGATTATCCTGGGTCCATGAGATTTTCATCCCACATGTGCATTTTGTGCTTCTTTGGACAGCATTAGAGCAACTCCCTGAGTGTGTGGAGCATTTTCCCCTTCGTGACCGGAGTACAGCAGCATCTCTCCTGTACCTAGCCTTTGTTGTCCAGTTTGTGTCCAATGGGCTTCGTTGATTCCGAGTACTGCCAAGTTGTATCTCCTCATTTCCATTGCTATTTGGCTGGTTTTTCCTGTCTCCCACACTGTCCGGACGTTCCATGTACCTATAAAGAGTGTTGCTCTGGTTGTTAGAAGGTGCATCGGTCTCGTGACTTCCGAAGAATTTCGGCTTTCATCATGAGACGTCATAATTATTCCTTCAACTCCCAGGGCAGAGTTTAAATGGTTTGAATTATTTTTTCTGGTTAGCGTTTTTTTAGCGAGTTAGCTTTTCTACGGGATGGGGTCGCTAACCCCATGCCCAACCCTCCTCCTTTACCCGGGCTTGGGACCGGCAGTAACTCTAGAAGAGCTACAGGCGGAGTTTTTTTTCAGTCACACTAGTGATATTAATTGACTGCTCAAAATAAAATAGGTAGCTTGAGGTTCGATAAGGTGGTTGTTGGTTGAATGCCTTAACCACCAACGTACCACTCCACTAAACTAGACTAGGCAACATAAAATTTGAGCTAACGTATAAGTATCTAACGAAGCTTGATTCTGAGCCGGTTTCCTTAACACACTAAATTTATTGTTCATAAAAACTGAAACACTAGGTATTGTCTACATTATTCAGCAAATATGATTAAGTACATGACAGTAGTATTCATCATCATAATATTCTAAACTTTAGACAACTTGTGATATAGAATCAACACTGAGATCATTATTGATACATGATCTGCTTCCAATTTGATTAAATTCCGCGTTTAGAACTTCACAAATCCATCTTGAAGTGGGTCAATGATGAAGATTTAGCTAAAATAGTCTTCAAAAAAACTCGTCTAAGTAAACTATTTGACCTGTTTCTATGTTACCATTTCACTTTAATGCATTACTTTGAATAGTCCACTAATTCCATTTTAAAAGTTTGAAAGTAAATTCCTGATAAATGTTGCGTTAAAGAAAATATTCTGAGGGCATATTATTTCAGTTTATTTGACAAACCATCCAATGTTATTCTGACGACAAATTTACTGGACAATAAAAGTATTCATCTATTCCTGTTAGCTTTATTGATGTAAAGTAGATGGAATAATACTTTGTTTTTCAATTTCAATTTGCTATATTTCCAAATGTAGTCGATTTGTGATGTAGTCTAGCTAATATCGGTTATTGTCGGTGATAACTGTTTCACTATCGAGCATGGTCTGACTGCCCTCAGAAGTTAGAATTTCTCACAAAAACTTCAAGAATCTATTTCAAAGTCAATCACTAGTGAACACGTAACTACGATTTGTTTGAGTGGATTGTCTAGTGTGATCTTACATAAGCTGTTTTCATTTGCTGACGCGAAATATTCTCAAAGTGATCTAATCTTTACATACCACTTAGCCAAATAATTTCTTTTTCAAAGTTCAAATATTTTAAGACAAATAAGCGTATCTGCCAAATAGAATTTCAAAATAAATGAGGTCGAATTCATAGAACATTGTTAAAAAGAACGCGTGTGTTTATAACTCTAAACAATTGTTTGGTGTTTAAATTCAGTCTCATTTACGTCTATGTATTGATACTAGACTACACAAACCTAAGAACAGTAATTATATGATATAGATAGTGTATCAACTGTAAATGTCAAGGTTATAACCCACATTTTCATAAGCACAAAAGCAATACTAACAACAAATATATATGAAGTGATAAAATATATGAGTCATTTGTTTAAAATCAACTGAATTTCGTTTAAAATCTTCTGTAGAACTGTGATTTTACCGATATTTTTTTTATTTATTGCACAGGTTCCATATGGCGATCGAATGGAGTTATTACTTGATACACATAGTGTAGTATTAAAATGGAGAGAATCATGGAGAAGACGATTGTCAAAATTTGTACGTCGTGCTGCACGTGAACCATGTGATAGTGAGAAAAATTCAGTTGTTGTTGATGATGATAATACTGATGATAGTGATTATGATAAATTAAAAAGAACTCGTCGAGTACAACGGTTACGTCCAGGTCCTGATTACTATTCATCAAACACCCAAGTGAATCAACATAATCGAATACAATCCCCCACTTCACCTTCAACATTATCATCAAATTACCACTTGAATAGGCTAAGGTCATCTAACAAGTTAAAAAAACAAATCAGTCAATCATCCATCATTTCCGACCCACACAGTTCTAAAGAGATTAGTTTAAATTACCCACATGATAAGGATAAATTTCAATATACAACCAATAAAAATGTGTATTCATCATTTTATTCAAATCAATAAATTCAGGTCAAAACAAAATTTCAAGAAATGAAATACTATATCATGGAAACAATGTTAAGCAATATAATTTAGTTAACAATATCGGTGTACAGTATTACTGTTTTGAATATATATCCCCCCACCCTCCAAAAAAACAAAAACATCAAATAAATTGAACTATCAGACGGTGAACTTTTTTTAACACAAAAAAAAATTTATTTCAACCATATATCCTGTATCTGTTAGCAATATTATTTATTGACTAATAAAAAGGAAGCGAAAAACAAACAAACAAACGATCTATTTCTGAATCAGAAATAACTAATAGGCAAAACAAAAATCTACTTGCTATAACCTTTAAAATAATCACTTTTTTTTTCTCTTTAATAAATATACACATTAAACTATTATAACTTGTCATTTATTGAGATTTTCTCATTTTGAAAAAAAAGTTAATAATTATATTCCTTGTTTTATACACAGTCGCCATTGAATTGTCTATTTGTTCTACTATTTATAGAATCTATCGTTATCATTCATAATATAATTATAATAATTGATTAAATAATTAATTATGCCTGTTACTTTTAATAGAGTATAGGCTACCAACCAGAAAATCAATAATGATAAATCTTTATTTACAACATAATCAATATTATTTATTACTACTAATCGTTTAAATTTTTTTTTAAAAACTATCTATCATAATCATTCAGTGTATTCAATGATATATCAAATGAATATTGAATATATGGTGTAAGTTTTAAATGATAATCAATATTAACCATTACATTTATATCCCATTAATTGCTACCTCATATTCTTCTTTATCACTTTTTTCTTGTCTATTCTTATTCATTAAATATATATTCTTGATTGGCTATAATTATTAAAAAGGATTATTAATTATAACAATATATATATTATTATTATTGACAAAAGTAGTAGTATATAAGGATTTGTGTTCATGTTTAATTTGACTTAACAACATTCTGTTGTTGTTTTTTGCTTTAACATATCCATGGAAATTATATTCTGCTTACTATTATTATTATTACATTTTCTGATTGAATAATACATTTCTCAACTAAATATTATTGAAAATAAAATTTTCAATTCATTTGTATTGTGTAATTATGAAGAATAAATAATCTTAAGTTGACAGTGATTATTAAATTAAACTTAGGTTAAAATAAGTTGTCAACATGTCTTTTTTGACATATGTGCATCGTGTATGGATTGTTTCTAAATAGTTATTAGAGTACAAGTTATTATAGAGTAGATGGGATGTGGTTAGCAGTGGAGTGGAAGATGTGTGTTTCTTCCTACTTGGGACTCGTCAGTTAGATGTACCTGCATCCCAAAACTGATGTTCATTCTAGGACTATAATCCAGTATCATATGCTTCAAAATCCATCGCGTTATTCACTTAACTATTGAGTTTACATAGTCATTTAATTGTGAAATGGATCTGATAGTGAACTCAATTTTTAAGTGGTTCGGATTTAGAGTCTTAGAGTGACCATTAACTCTGGGACGCAGGTACATCCATGTGACGAAATGCGCATCACGGATTCCACTGCTAGCCACATTCTATTTTATACAAATAAGTATTTCGACCAGAATCAGTAATCGAAATGTTGATTACTAGCTATGGAATTTAAAAGTTCATTGTACAGATTTAAAAATGACTGTGCACTTATTTCTGAGGAATTTTTAAAAAAAAATAAACGACTTATGGAGTCAATCAAAACAGGGATGAGACAGTAACTGACCGATGGAATCAAAATTTTGGACCTTCAGATCCCATCTCAGTAGTATCATCCTGCATGTCTGACAGGAAGGTATTGACTATGATTATATATGAGCGCCCTTAAGAGGAATCCTAAACAATAACCAAATACTTATTCTGTGCTTTTGGGTTGTCAATACGTAATCAAATGATAAAAATTACCCTTAAATGTTTCTCCAATTTTTTCATTTGATACATTCAGTATACAGTGATAGTTTTATTGACTAAACCTAGTAAACAAATTATTATGGAATTTAACTAGAACACCATCTTCAAAGTTAACCCGTATAGAAGTGAAAAATGTGTGACTGTTCAAGGTGTGGTCTACTCATATCCATATAAGTAGCATATGGTGATGGTCAGACAGAGAATGTATTTTGGCAGAAGACCGATGAGGGAAGAACTGAAATGAAGCGCAAACGGTAGGAAAATGCATGAACAATGGAATTAGAGAAGATGAACTGATATTTACGGAAGAAACAGTGAAGATTGAGACAATTGATTGTTAATTTGCAAATTAACTGTTTACTGTATGGTTATCAGGATTTAGTGAGATAGTCTGTAATTTTTGTTTAAATATATTCGATTGTCCCCAACCGGTGTTCTGTTCACTACAAAGGTATTAAAAGGGTCGTTCAATCTGTTTAACCTGAAAGAAGCATAGTTAGTTACCTTATATTTACCAGAAGTGCTGGTTGCTAAAGAACTTACGGTGACACAAAACATCTCTGTACTAGAGAAATCATCCTACACGTGTGATTATGCTATAACTAAATGCAACAGCAGCTTAAATCCCACTGTCTACTTCAGCTTGGACGGATCACTAGTATCAATACTCTATTCACAAAGCGTCCCTTGAATCTAAAGCAATTTACCTCAGACTTTGTACCTAATAGATTGACAACCAACATAGCTAATTTTATTGAGTTGATCTCAGCATTTTTGAGGACAGATTGACAAACAAACGATAGTGTATCTCACATATGCAATGTACCTTTGGGAGGAAAGTATAAAAATAAGAGAAAATACCACCTACACTTTATCTCATTGAATTGATTTAAAGTTAATCGGAGCCTATTCTTTTTCTGTCCACTTTCCGACATGAATCAAACGGTCTGCTTGATGGTAAATTGGGCGTTCAAGACAAAAATTTGTCACTTGATGGATTTATCTATTTGAATGGAACTGTACAAGGTTTATCACTGAATGTCCGTCACAATCTGAACTAGTTCTGAGTATTAGAAGCAACATTGCAAATGTTCGACGATATTATTTTATTGAGATTGCTAATTAGATCATTTGATGGTAAATTTCTTCATCTTAAAACTGATTAGGTTACTGATGCTTCCGCTCGAATACGAGAGCCTAGTAATAGCATTGAAAACGTGACATGTGAATTAAAATGGTCATAGGAAAACAGCTCACATTTCCTGAAACAATATATCTTTATAGCCCAATAACACTCCCTAAATGCAACGAACATCGTTTAGTTAGCAGCGTATAAAGTATGCAAAGAATATGCGCTCATTCTATTCACAACTGATTTTTTGTCGATTCTGACACTATTGTGTTTATACGGCCAATAACTAATACAAAACTAAAAAAACTCATGTATACCCTAGAGTTAAATAACTACCTGTATTCAAGTGATCTCCAAACCTAGAGGCTAAGTATTCGATGTAAAGTAATCTGACAGGCTATTCAAGGATATAATAGATCCTTGAAAAGCCGATGTAAGTTCAACTACAATACAACCTGCTAATCAGCTACATAATGAACTGTTGGTAACCTACCATGATTTTGAGCGCACTGCCAAAACATCTTGATATATGTGTTATACTAGGTATCCTTCACCATAATCAACAATGTAAATTCGTCACATCAACCGCGAATTCGATATTGTACAAAAAGTATAATATTGGGTGGAGCAACTAATAATAATAATAATAAAAAACTCGGAGAACATGTTTAAAATCCGTCGATTTGTTCTGTACAACTATATGTGTAACAGAAGGTTCACAGAATGAACTGTCTGATATCGTGAGATTTCAGGAATGTTAGAAAGCTAGAACCATTAATCATCATACGAAACAAGACATGAGAACGGGTGTGCTAAGCTCAACGAACGACAGGTTGATCGAAATGATCTCACAGTAAAAAGGTTGACGTGATTAGATATGTTGTCAATTATTAACGCCTGTATTCAAACAATGGAATAATGGCACCTTCGAAAGTGATCCAACCTAAACCTAATTACCTGTCATTTAACACATTGTGCGCAAAAAAGAGAAAACAAACATAATGCCTGGAATTATGTACTGTATGTGAAGTTAGCATTTTACATAACAAACAAAGTATGCTGATCAGTTATCATATTTATTGTAAAGATAGAAATGTAGTAAACTGAAGAAGTTCAAAAACCTCTTTATGAAAAAAATCCGGTACATGGGCACGTGAGCCTATATGAACATATAAACGCAAGATTTGTTCAAAAATCTTTACAATATGCATATTTATATAACGGAGTACTTCAATTTCACAGATAACCAAACCTTTGCACAGAACTTTGTAACAATAAATTAAAACAGACAATAAGTGATTTGATGACAGATGTTGTTTTATCGAGTAAACTAAAAGCAAAAACTGTATTTAAGGTAAGAGTGAAAGTCCAAAAATGTAGTTCATTAATAATGATAGTAACGATAATAATAGTTTTATGGAAATTCAAGGGGCTGGAAAATGTTTACAAGCAGAATAAAGACGCTAACAAATACATACAAAGCAAAAAATAAAATCAACATTTTCAGCACTCGAATAATGGGAGGCAGATTGTGCTAATGAACTGAGACAGTAGTACTACAACTACTATCATCGATAAGATTAATAAAGAACATTTGCCTAAAATCGGCATTAGGAGTACCGGGTTGTTAAAAGCAGGATCCAGCTAAAATTCTTCCGGTTCTTCACCTTCGGGAGCAGTGAAACCATCCTGTTAACAAGCACAAAATATACGAATGAAAAACGCTTTTATTACGCTTTTTAAAAAGTTCACTATGTTATATACACATAAATATAGGAACAAAGTTAGTATAAGAGCGTCATTTTACACAAAGCGCATACAGTACATCAACCTATAGTTATTGAAACAAACTATGTCCGGAGGGATGGTACACAGTATCCAGATAATGATAACTAAATGAAATAAATAAATAATGGTAATTTTGTGTGTTGCTTGGGCCAAAATCAGTATATAACGATAACGTCAAATTTTTTTCAACTTTCTCGAGTGATGTAAAAAGGAAATGCCAAAAAATATAGTGGGGTTTATGATATTTCGTTAAGTCAAGATGCACTACAGGATGTAATAATAAAATTATGAGACGAAACTGTCTTGTGGTAACTAAAGCCAATTTTAAGGAAGTAAAGCTGGAAAATAATTATCGCTGATATTATAGTTCATTAGATAAAGGAAATATTTATTTAAAATCAAATGACTGGATAATCAACTTACTTCGGTTGCGTAAAGGATTTCAAAGATACTCTTAGTCAAGTCTACTTTTCTGTTTTCTTGACAAATTATTTCAATGCTGCGTAGCTTGTTGAAGTAGAAATCCCTTTCACGAAGTAGACCTTCAATAGTAGTCTTGTTTTGTTCAGCCTGTAAAAACAAGAGACGATAGAAGTCTTATTCATTGAAATAAATTTGATTGTACAATATTAGTAATTTTGTGTGCATAACTATTTTCTGCACTTACAAATAACTAGTCTTGCTTATTAACTGAAAACGCCGAAAACGAGCATGTTTGTAAATTGATTGTCGATAAAAAGCGTCATGTAATAATTAACAGAAACGAAATAAAAAAGAAATTAAAACAATGATGATAAGACTGTAGCAGAGTATAGCTTAGATCATTAAATTTATACTCAAATTTCAGCATCTTTCTATAAACTTTTGGTCAGTATGACTAATGACGTTCGAACTGGTGTAGTGATTATGAAACAAATTATTATTTTTATGGCCAGCTTGACCTTAAAATCTTCATCAACCTAAACGTATTAATATACACACCATAAATCACAAAACGCTGAAATAATGTAGAATAAACTGCTTGGTTAGCAAAAGTATTTGGCCATCAAATATTTTCTTAAAGTAGTAAATTAAATTATTACCAAATTCAGATTCACTTCCTAATGAAGCCCTTTCTTCTTGTGTTGAGACGGCAGACATAATGTAACCAACAACAAATTTGAAAAAATGTAACAGATTTTTAAATGTCTTGCCCCCAAATGCAAATGGTCAACGGTGAGAAGAGTCAGCTCTTCTTCTCAAAATGCCACTATCAGGGAAGTTCTACTCACTGCCTTCTCGTGACTGGAGTGTTAATTACGAAATTGAGAGGACGAAAAGCGATGTCGGTGGATAAGAAGGGTCCGTATAAGGGAAATAGAAAACCCTGATTCCAAACCAATGGTGCTCATGGGCTCCAACATCCTGAGGGAACAAATGGCGTATGAACCTGTTGTTGATCACCGACTACTATGGAACTGCATCCCCTAACGTCGCTACACTGTTTTGTGGATTAGATCTTCAGGTCAAAGGCTCGGGGAGTGGCCCCCAAAAAATCACCTGCTTCGGTTCGGGAGCCCGGGAAGTATCCCGACCCCCACACAAATAGAATGATGAAATGTGGAGCATATATATTTGTTGCCCCTTTGTACCAATGTTTATGTGTTTAAATAAATAAATGAACTGCAAGTGTTTTAGTACATATTATTCATTTGAAAATAAGATGTAATGTATTGTCTAGCAAAGACTTGATTCGAATCTTAAGTATTAATTAACGTCATTTTTTTATTCAACATCCTGACGTTAATCTTCGTAACTGGTTAACGAAAAGAGTACAAATAGATATAATTTTCGTATTTTACAATTGAGAGGTTATAGTAACAAAAAGATTGATATTGAATTCGGAAGAAACTACATTACCCTTCTGAAAACCGATCCTAAAACTGTACCTTGTTGAACAGTATTCAAATGAAAATTTCGCAATAATCAACTCTAAATCATGGCAATAGTGTAGAATATCACTAGTGAGAAAAATATAGAGATGAATACTAAAGATTTAATAGGACAAATGAAAATCATGTCATAAATGTTCTTACCAAACCTGACTAACTTAATGAAGATGACACTGAATGAATACCATAATCTAAAAAATCCATTAATTCAATAAGTGTACATCACAAACCACGGTTTTGTAAGTGATTAGCAAAACGTTACCAACCAACCTAACAAGGGTAACGGTTGATAACACTGAACCACTTTGTGATTCAAGAAAAGAAGTTTTTAATTTTATCGGTCGGCGCAAATCAATGCTTTTGATGATGAGAATACAGTTGTTTGGTCTAAGTAACCGAAGCTAAGTCACTGGGCTATTTGATACTATTGAAACTAAGCACATAAGATCGAGTCGAGACCACAACATATGAATCCCGATTATGAGTAAAATACAAAGGCACGATTTATGCTTATACTGTATTGAAATTTATTGAAGATCTTAAGACATGTCTGCTTTAGACTAAAATCTCAATAAAATCTTCACACGCTTAAGAGTAACATATGAAATCCAAGTAAAATTACCAGTCTAAGAAACACCAATGACACACAAAGTAGAAAAGGGATTGGTAGAAAATGAGAAACCCGAAAATGTGCTACACTACATAACAGTATATAAAAAGAAAATTAACAAGAAACAAGATAAGCGATCATACAACTCCAAAACAATCTATACGAGCGAACAGTAATTGTTTCATAACTTGATTTAACTACCTTAAAGCTCTCCCAAAACTATTACTCAAGGTAATACTTTGAATAAAAACCACTGTTTAGAATTCAGTAGATGCAGGCTATTATAATTTTTATTATTATTATTATTTACACATAAACATTGATGCAGAGGGGATGTAAGTTAACAACTTGTTCAAATGATTTATACCCATAATTTGAATTTTAGTGTTTGACAGAAGCATTTCATATTAGTGGATCCGAAAAATCCAATCATCTAGAAGTGATCAACAATCGAATATCTTGAGTCTTTCCACATTGTCTTATATTCCCATTTTGGTAAATGTTTGGGTGGTATCATCTATACACTCCTTTGGCGTCGAGCTACTAGTGATGTAGGCAAGATATCTGTCTGCCGATCACTACTCTATTCAACTATATAACTGTGGAAAATGCTCTCTGAAACTATAGAACAAATGTAATCCTGTAGTATTTGATCATAGATATTTTTGAAACACTGTTGGTGTATGATGGAAAAACAGAATGAGCAACGCATATGTGAAACATAGGGTACCAGGTAGAGATGGCTGATGAGAACCGATGAATGTTTGCGTCACGTCTTACGTTGATTATGATTGAATGGCTGGTACAGAAAGTAATTCCCACCAGTCACTTATATTTATGCCAGGGATAAGCCTGTTGCCAGGTTATTTACTGATACGACTTAAGTACGGAGTCTATTAGCTTCTACTACTAAACAAGGTGTGATTACAGACAAGTTCTGGACTATGCATAAACATTTGAGTTGTAAAATCATTTACGATAAAGTCATTTTATGATAACATTACATCAATAAACCAAGAGGATGCAACGTTATCAAAATCCTCTTTTTGGGCTACAAATTTTTAACGCTATTTCAAAAGTTACGAAATAGAACGTACACCAGCTCCCAAAAAACGCATATTAAACAAAAGTTTCGGATAAAAATAAAATAATGATGAAAAATCTTGTTGAAATGACTGTTTGATTAGATGCATTAAAATTAAATGTTACATTGGTGTTTGATAGATGGGGGAAACGTTATCTTTATGATGATAGGTTTAGTGAACTAAATCAAACAAAAATACAAAAACTGACCTCTAATGTAAGCTGATCGAATTGTTGCTTCAGGATGGCCACCTCTGCATTATCTCCAGCAGAATAATGATTATTATTAGTAGGAGTTCCTGAAACGCCAGACTGACTGGTGCGCAAAGTTGTAACTACTGGATGTTTTAAAGGGAAAATATGTAAGAAGATCGACATATATTTGTTTAAAAGGTTATCATAAAGATTATATATCATAATTACTCAAAATACAACAAACGGTGAGTGCTTCTCACTGTGCAGTTTGAAGACTTAATTCATAAAAAGTGGAACGAATACAAATGAAACTCTGAGACATCTACAGTGCGGAAGTAGACGGTGTCCAAAATTACAAATGTATTAGTGTTTAACCTTGCTCAAATGTACATGTACCTAAGTTGCTACGCTTCGCAACAACAAGAAAAGATTAAGTCAATTAGAATGGAGATACATCAGGACAGGCAAAAGCAGTCAGTCATACTCAACGTAGACAAATATAGAAGTGGAGAAACACAAAAATTGCACAACAATTTGGAGAAAATAAACAGCGAGCAGATTTGGAATAGTGTTCTATTTGAACCATTTGAGCCATTGTGATCGATTCTGAGCCATGTCACCTAGAGTCTCCAACCATTGGTTACGATAGTCACACGGACCCCAACCAAGTAGTCTGCATTGTCAATCCAAGTCCTCAGTCATTACATTATTATCACTAGTACTATTACTTCTACTACCTTGGTTTTCATCTTGCTTTGCTAACATAGTGTAGTGACTTGGGCTAATGCACACCTGAGCCAGGTTTTATGCTGCTAATGACTGACTGAGCCTACGTTTATGATAGTCACCATTGCACGTCGGTGAATAAGTACGCGTAGAACATTCCGGACACCTCAACCAACGAAGCATGTTCGTGTTTCACATCTTATCTAGTGGCTTTAGCAATCCATCTATAAGTATTTTCCAGGTTTAAACATTTATCATTCAAAGTTGGGTAGCTAAGTAGGGTCCAAAAAGTATAAGTACACTAAACACGACTTTTTACAGTTACAGGAACATCGTAACGGTGCTAAAAATTGATCAAAACAATTAATTTTACCTTCATTCTTGTTATAAAACCATTGATCTCAACTAGTGTCCACATTTGGAAAATTACACACTTGCATATATACACAATTTTCGATTGTTTAAAGTAGGTGGTTCACATCTAAGAATGAATGTACATTGAAATTCCCACAAATGTATTTTGAACTGTGAAGTGTAAGTATTATACTTCTCGCAAACCACCTAAGTAGAATTTATATAGGTTTTGAGGTATAGTATGACAAAAAAATCCTTAATCATTTATAAAGTATTTTTCCAGATAACAGTACACTTCTTACACACTACTGCTTTGTTTCCCCATAATTAATTTCTTTCTACCGCTACTGATGCTCGCTTTGATGTGTTGTGGTAACTTGGACCAGTGTACATATAATGAGCATCATGATGATAATGATGTTTTACCCGGATCTATCACTAAAATTGCATCAACAATAGTGTTAAGAATAGTAAAAACTGAAAACCCTAACCAATTCCACTAATTTTAAATAACTATGATGTAACTATACTTCGTGTAAAGTATTCTGATAAGGCGGTCGAAGTTATTAGGATTTCAGAACCACTGTTGTCCGTATAACTCTGCAATAGCTTGGACTGTATTAGTGGTAATAAAGTTAAAAGCTGATACGTTGCAAAACGTATGATGTTTGAGCATCTCAAAAGACGATATATGACCGATCTAAAAATGGTCTGAACGAAATATGATCTGCTAGATATCTCTGTATCCTTTATAATCTGCTTTATGTGACAAAAACTAATATGTAAAGCTTGCAAGTTAAGACTAGTGTAACGATTATTTTTACTTAAGTTAGCAAGGACATAGTCGGAAGCCAGTTATGAATAACTTTATTTTAGTGACGGAAAATCCTATCCGTGACATACATAAAAAACTCAGTTAATTTTCTGGCTTGTCACTCGTTTCCGATAAGTAAATCAAAACGATTTTAATAGAAGACAACCATTTCAGGGTCTGTTGCATCAAAATGCCACAAGATGGAACCCTGATTAAGAGCACTAGATCAGGACTTCGAAAGTTGTTATGATACCAAACATACTAATACCTACGTCAGTGGTCGATATGGGTGGGATGAATAACAAGACATGGTAAAAATGCTCAACAAAATAAGTTGTCAGATATTAATGATGAAGAAATCAACAGGAGACAAAGGGGGAAAAATGGTTTTAACAGTGAAGATGAAGCGATGAGTGAGAAACTAAAAGTAAAGAACAGAATATTTAGGGTTCGAGAAAAAGTATAAAGTTTATGTACATCTGTTGTGACATTTTGGGTCTTTCCTTCCATACAGTATATACGTTAAGAACATGTTAGGGCTTGGAATGACAATGTTTAGCTTTCGTCAAATCTGATTCTATGGACACAAGGACAATGAGATTTAGCGACTATTGGCTGAGTATATGTAAAAAAGTCAGGAAAGGTTACCAACCCCATTAACTGATCCACCATTACTACATATCGCTTTACAGCTAAGTAATCGACCATGATTGAGCAATATTTTGGGAACACAAGCCATAAAGTGTTTGAAACCAGCACACACAAACTTTTACTTGGAAACTAATTAGTTGTCTAACAACTGTAAATAGTCAACATTTCAGGCGTATATTGAGAGATTTCAGGTGCTATTAGAAGGGGGGTCTTAAAAGTCTCGTATCTTGGTCAAAAATGTTACAGTCTGTCATGATAGGATTTAAAAATAGCCTTTTGAAATTGAGTTAACTTAGACCAAAAAGAAAACACTTGAACACAAACAAAACTGAGTTGCGGTAATGTGAGACAACCGACATAACACATTGAGCTACATTTCTAAACCAGGTACGTCACCTGACTAATTAAGGATATACATCTAGGTGAGTTTTCAGAAATCATATTTTCTGTCCGATTTTTACAGATCTAAAATGCAACAACGTTATGCGGCTAATAAGTAAAAATTCTCGAATTTATGAATAACTTAAATCTACTGTTTTTCCGAACTCTGTAGTGTTTTTCATCAAGATTACTTGTATAACATACAACTGTCAAGGCCTCTGGAGTTTAGGAATCTTTGAGAAATAATATTGTTTACTTGCTCGGCCGGATCGCAGAAACTCACGTTAATATGGGTTAAAACATAAACATGAGTGATAAAAGTGACACAGGTTACCAACTTACCTTGCTTCTGACTTGTGGGTTTAGCATTTGATGAGATGCTATTACGTGGCTGATCGAGTTGGGACTTGTTTGGAGTTTTCCCGCTGCCAATAATTTTCTCACCTCCCCTAGCTGTTAAGGCATCATAAAGATGACCATCATAGTTTACGTCGAAAAATCGTTTAAACCATTGTAGAAATTCAAAATTATCTTGGAACTTTCCTTTTACTAACTTTTCGATTGGAACCTCCTAAGACAAAATAACTAGAAAGGTTGTACTCTACTTTATCTACGCCATGTTTCTTAAAAAGAGCTTGTAATACTTTGAAGTTATTAATGTACTCATGCTCCAACTTTGTGTTAAATTTGACTTTCTTAAACAACAACGTCCCTGCAGAAATAGTTTAGATTTCTGCAGTAAATACCTGGGAAGAGCATATCCACCAGCTGACAATAAGCTGCTCCACTGCACAACTCCTCTACTTTACCGTAGCTGCTGTTAAGACAGTGATTAACCCATTGAATTATTTCATTTCTGCTTAAATTGTCAGTCATTTGACTGGTGCTGTGAACATTGACTGCTTGCGGGATGCCCGCCATGACCTGCGGAAATCTTACGACCTCAAGAATCCGATTTAGAAAGACCGCTTGGACTACCCAGTAATACCCTACATAGTAACACAAACAAGAGTATACTGGTAATCGAAGTGCTCACCATAATAAATTTCAAGTAAAAATTGTAAGCAGAAGATTAGATATAGGGTGTTCGAGCTCAAACTTTGAGCATTACTCCATAAACAATCGTTCGATACGACCGAGATTAAAATGCATTTTTAAGGTTAGTGAAATGTCCATGAGTCCTAGTCAAAGTATACATTAAAATTAACCATCTCCTTGCCTAGTGATTAACTACTGGACGCTGAATAGTTTACTAAGCATCTCCAAGGTCAGGAATGATAAACACGGATTGATTAATTGCACCTCGTGAATCGGCCGGCCCATAAATTAGTGTAACCATACTCTATACTGTTCTAATCTGTTTTTATTGATCAGGCCACCTGCTTTGGTAAGATTCTATTTGTTTTCTACCGTCACTAAAGAAGCAATATTATCTGACTATCTTGACATGGTAATACAAGTAAGGTAGGACGTTAGGTCACACCGCCCATGTCCAACCTCAGTAGTTTCGTAATCCACACTGATGATCTAAAGGTCTTATATCAGCCTTCAGAAGTAAAGATCAGAAGTAAAGTGACTTTTTCGATTCTCACAAATCTACCATAAGAAGGCACTGAAACTCCGTTTTATGTAAAGGAGACCAGAGGTTCTATACTCTATGAGAGAAAAGAAACTCTAAGTGTGAATGACTTGGTTTCGGTTTTCGGAATCTTTAAGTGTCCTTTCACATGATCAGTCCTTGGTTAAAGAAAAAAACATGCAGCCGTAAACAAATCCCAGAAAGCAATAGTCCTGTAAGTCGTCCACCTCATTAGTCTTATTGGACGCATCTAGCTGAATACTCTCGGTCACCCATCCGCATCAGATCACGGGTGGGTATGTCCTGCTACGCATCGCTTGCGACGGCTAGACAACTTAGGTTGAATGATCACCGATATATCGGTAATCTTTCGAACATACCTCCGAATCTCTTCATTTATGACTTCTGATTTGACTGGAATGGCATACTCCAGTCATAAAGGTGTTGCATGTAAAGGTGTCATCAAACTTCAAACACAGTGTCATCTTTAGACACACTAATGAAAAAGCAATACTTGACATTACAGCGTACAATCATCTTATAATGTAAAATAGCTGTAGTATGTCAATGTGTCACGATCTTTGCTAGTAATTTAGGTTGTGTGAGTCTCTTATCATCTTACTCTCTAGCAGTGTGATTCGTGATTCACCTCGTATCCTAAATAAGGGCTTGTGGCCTGGACATCGTATCGTAAACGAGACCTCAGATATGCTGTGCAGAATATCCCAAATATTTATCTACAATACAAAATGATCTGTGAACATCCCATCAGACCCAGAAGCCTTTGAAAATGATCTCCTTACTGATAAACCTCATTTTAAAGCCACTACAAACTACGACTTTTAAATCCATCTTATCCTAACATTTCATATGCGAGTGTGAGAAAATCTTTCATGTGTGCATTTCGTATGATGACAACCCTTTGTTCCGTCCCACGTGTATCCTTATTATCTTTAAACTTTCTGATCATGTATATTATGTTAATCTTTTGTTCACGATGAGTTATGTTTACTCTTTTTCATTATCAGATTTCGTTTTCACTATCTGTTCCTCTATTTTTACTGCACTGACAGCCTTTGTTTTCGTTGGCTCAGTCCCTTGTCTTGGTGATTCTTTAGATGATTTCCTTTTCTCAGACTAACCACAGTTAGCGGTGCCTGGTCATTACCCAACCTTCGTGTTTTTATACATAGATCGACCTGAGATGGCCAGTTCGCGAATTTACATTGCTGATTCCCAATGAATAAAAAGCGGAACTTAATCTTCCCATTATTATCGAAGACTAAGCGAATGTGTTCTCAAGATACTCATCAGGAATGACCATCCATGTAGGTTAGTCAACGGAAACTTAACACCGATATGTCGTGAAAAATTGCTAACAGTACGACAGAAAACTCGCTTTGTGGATGTCGCATTTAAAAAGGTACGGGCGTCAAAATCTTGAATAAACCTATTTTCATATTCCCGAATAAGACTTATTCAGTAAAGCTTCTCATTACCTTCTCAAATAGACCTGCCATTCACTGATGTGCTAAGGATAAACTTCTTTAGGTTGCATCATTGTTCATCCATAAATTTACTTGTATTTGTGTGGTGGATTACATTAGCCTCACAAGGCGATCGCTTTTTGAAAACATCTCAGAAAATTACCCACCGAGGCTTTTAAAAGGAGAATACAAAACAATCATCATGTACATCGCTAACACAGATAACCTGTTTCGAATGATTAGGGACGTATTCCAATCAGACGGGAGTGGTGTATTTAGTCAGCTAACGTCGAAGTCAGACATCGAGGTTAGTACCTAACGTGGATTACTCTTTCACCGTGTCTATGTACTATGTTTGCTTTGATGACTGTACATAAACAACGTTATTACATAGAAGATATTAGTCTGAGTAGGTACAAGGCATGGATTGTGACCACTGTTGCATGGGCCAATCCATCGAGATCAATTAACCGATGCTCGTTGATTGTCTTTGATCTTAAGGAGGATCAGAGAACTTTTTGACATCCAGTGACCTGCGTGTCAGATGATTTGGCTAGGACACAGTGAAATTTCACTGGCGCTACAACCACTTCAATATAAAAGTGTAGTGGTACCGGTCATAACCACAATCCTCAAGGCTGAAAATGAGATAACTGGGAAGATAAACTTTCAACATATAGCACTGAGAGAAGGTCAGTAATAGTGAACGCGGGAAGATTCACTTGAAATTCAATTCATCGAATGGCATGGCACCGTCTTGCAGGCATGGACATGCCATTGTAACACCATTTTTGTTCATGTTAAATATATTGTTCTATCTCCAACCTAAACGTGTTTTCCATCATATGCTGGTAATTTTTACGATACGATTAGTCAGTGTAAACAATGATGTGACTTCCACGTAAGGTCTCATAGATTAGGCAGTTATATCACGACAAATCTACGATCTTAATATTAGATCTATTATTAGAGCAGTACTAATAACGGAGTGAACCATAGTTCTACAGAAACACTTGATCAACTCTGAACATGTTGCTCAAATGGAGTGTTTCTTCAAAGTAATCTACGCGATCAAAGGAACTGGATCAAAGGGATGCCGAATCAAAAACGTATTCTTTGCTGGGGCAGTGGCTATCGACCAATTCAAACCTGAACGCTGAGTACAAAAACGATATGTCAAGCCTCTTGGTCTTTTTTAGTTGCTTACTTACGCCTATTACCCCTCGTGAAGTAGCACTCGCCGCTTAGCAGCATTCTCCATTCAACTCTGTCCAATACAATCCTTTTCAGTCGTCCGCACTTACTATTGATCATTTTTGTGTCAGCTCTCTATTTCCTATTCAATGTACTTTTTGGTATTCCACTTTTCTTTTTCTCTTCAGGATTCCAAGTTGGTGCTTGGTATGTGATGCAGCTAGATGATTTCAGTAATGGGTGTCTTATCTACCTCTCACATCTTTTCTTAATTTTATCTTCACATGGGAGCTGGATTGTTCTCTCCCATATTAGGCTGATGCTGATGGTATCCAACCAACAGACATTCACTATCTTACGCAGACAGTTGTTCATAAATATTTGTGCCTTCTTGATGATGGTTGCAGTAGTTCTCCACGTCTCAACCCTGTATGGTAGAACTGTCTTGACGTTTGTGTTTGAGACCCTGACTTTGATATTAGTTGATTTTTTTTGAGTTCCATATGTTTTTCAACCATAGGAATGCTGTCCTTGCTTTATCAGTCCTTGTTTTTTCGTCTTCATCTGATCCTCCCCATTCATCGATGATTCTGTCAAGGAAAGTGAGAGATTTTACATCTTCCAGAACTTATCCATCATGTGTGATTGGGTTGTTGCTCTCCGTGTTGCATTTGAGGATGTTGGTTTTTCCCTTATGTAAGTTGAAGCCTACTGTTATAGAGGCCACTGCTACAATAGTTATCTTGACCTGCATTTGTTCGTGTGTACGGATAGAGGAGCTAAGTCATCCGTGGAGAATAGTTGTCTTGTTGTATGCAAGCTGTCCATTTTACTCTGTGCTTCTCGTCAGGTGTCTAAGTCCTTATAAACCAGTGGACCACCAGAAGAAAGAGGAAGGAGGAGAGTAGGCAACCTTGTCTGACTCCGGCCCTTGCTTAGAGTTCGTCCGTCAGCTATCCTCCATGCACGACTTCGCACTGTAGTCCGTAGTATAAATTCCGCATAGTGCTGAAAATCTTTTTATGAACTCCGTAGTGTCGAAGAAGTTTCCATAATGTTCTTCTGTCTACACTGTCAAACGTCTTCTCATGGTCAACGAGGTTGATGAATAATGACCAGTTCCACTCAACTGATAATTCGACGATGATCCGTAGTGTCGTAATTCTGTCTAAGCACGACCCATCCCGACGGAATCCAGTCTGTTGATCTCGAAGTTGAGCACTCAATGAATCCTCCACCCTGTTCAGCAAAACTCTACTGAAAACTTTTACTGATACCTATAGTAGTGTGATTCCTCTATAGTTCTCACATTTGCTCAGATCTAGTTTCTTTGGTACCTTGATGGAGTGTCCATTGTTTCCTGTTCGTCAGCACTTAATCCTCCACCCAAATCTTCTTGAATGGAAGGTGAGGAATGTTTACAGCTACCTCAGTGTCTGATTTCAGTGCTTCAGCTGGTATATTGTCAGATCCTGCTTCGTTCCAATTCTTGATTGGTCTGATGGGCATCTTGACTTCCTCGATCTTTGGTGGAGTGACGTCTATACGGAGGTCTGTAGATGTTGCCTCCATATCCGGTGGATCCAATGGAGTTACCCTATTCAAGTGTTCCTCGAAGTATGCCACCCATCTGTTTCTCTGTTACTGAATCTCAGCAATTAGCTTCCTTTCTTTGTCCTTGTTCGGATCCTCTGGTTTGTTATATTTCCTGCAAGTTTCTTCGTTGTGTCATGTAGTTGCTTCACATTTGCTTATCTTGTAGCTTTTTCTGCTGTCCTTCTCAGGTCTTCCATCACGTACTCCTGTTTGTCGGCTCTAATGTTTTCCTTCAGTTGCCTGTTTGCTTCTGTATATTTAGCTTATACCTTGACTAGTTCTGACCTTGTTCGACTGTTGTTATTTGCTGTCTCCCTGTTCTTCCTAATTTGAATTCTGTCCAGGATTTCATAAGAGATCCATTCCGTATGATGATTCTTGTTGCGGCCCAACGCCTCCTGACATGTGGAATTTAGTGCTTCTTTACACCCTTCCCAGTTGTCCTCTATAGTAGTTTATTCTTCTTTCAGTAGATCCTGTAGAGCTTGGAACCTGTCGTTGAGAGTTATCTTGAACTCGTTGAGCTTGTCAGTATGTCGAAGGTAGTCTGTACTGGACCTTTGTAATACTGTATCTCCAGGTATCCAATGCTTCTTTAGCTTCAGTTTCATTCTGTCAATTACCAGCTAGTGATGCTCTGGAGCTATGTCGGTTTCTCTCCTGGTTTTCACGTCTTCCATTGACCTTCTGAATTTTTTGGTGATACGAATATGATCGATCTGGTCCTTTGTAGCGTGGTCCAGTGAGACCCATGTAGCTTTGTGTATGTATTCGTATGGAATATTGTGCCGCCCATAACTCTTCCTGCAGCTCCTCTAGGACTACCACCGGTCCCAAGACCAAGCAAAAGAAAAGGGTTGAGCATGGGACCAGAAGAAAAGAACATTACTAAAAAATGCTATAGTCCTTCCTTGACCATAATTCCTTGATGCAGTATGTCTTGGTCCCGTTCTGTTTTTTATCATTATTTTGTAATCTGAAAGCTCAATAAGTTATTGATATCCTTTGACGATATTTTATCATCAGTGTTCAATTGTTACCATGACTATGATGCAACAAATGATGACATTCGAAACTCCAAATCACTTTATGATGCAGTCTTCTGCATCATTCTATAGTCTCATTCATTTTTCAAACAACTACAGATGAGAATGTTCAGCATAATCAGATGATTTCATCTAAAAGAACTTTTTTCACTGAATACTCTTTATTTTTATTCAATAAGAGTTATGGTCGTCATCCTCTATTAAACATTCAGCCATCGGCATATTTTAAGTTGTTTAGCTCTGCGATGATCTAGTGCATATTTGTACCTGGTGTTATTTACTTTTGATCTATTTTTGATTGTTACCTCGGAGAATTTAAAACATTAGGTTGTAGTGGATGTCGAGTCGAAGACGGACTATGATCACCACTACAATTCGTTTACGCGCCCAAAAACGACTTGGTTCCTTTGATAGCTCGTAAAACAGAAGACTTTATTAATCCAGATCAATTGTATTTATTGGCGATCTCGTGGTATCGAAATAATACCGAGACGTGCCAGAGTACAGGCGAACAGGCAGTGCGTGAGCAAGTTCGAACCAAAGAAGGCGGAGAGCGAAAGCAGAAGTGAAACTGATACAGTTAAACAAATACAGTAAAACAATCTCTGGTACAATTGGTTACAATAATAATAGTTGTTTCCGTTGTTCCAATCGTGTTCTTATCGAGATTGGCCGGTCACTACAGGAGCCCACCGCTAGAAAGGGTTTACACTTTCGATACGTAGCGGTTTCGTTCGTGGGACTGATCGCGAAACGTGCAATTGTAGGACGAAGGCGTTGGCAGAACAGGAAGTGATGGTTGATCCTCGAGTTGCCATCAAAAGTCTTTGACGTAGAACGGTACCAGAAGGAATGTACTGTATTGATTGCTTGGATTAGCATGCTACACCAGAGTGGTTTGTATCCAGAATCTGAAGGTTGCATTCGTAGGGATCCGGACCAGAAACGCTGCAGACGTAGGACGAAACCAGATTGAGCCAAGGAACCAGATGCGACCAGGATAACCATGTTCGGGACCAAATGTATACCATACGTATTTGGAGCCAGAGAGGTCGACTGAGTGCGTTGACTAGAGCGTGGGTGATCAGGCCAGCTTTCGCCAAAGTTCACTGAAGTCGACGATACCGTAACAGCGATGGTCGAAGGCGTAGGCTCGGAGTAAACAAAAAAAATGAGAGAAAAAGAGAAAAATGTAGCATTCGTGTAGTATAGTGGTAAGGTCCTATACTGTATCCTCTGCTAGTTATGAGATTAATCGCGAAAGCGTACGGGTAAACGCACTTGGCGACCGGAACGTGAGACGGTAGTCTCGTTCGAACCTCGTGAGCCTGCAATCTCATCCACAGTCAAGGGCGGTGTGGTCTGCTGGTCTGGACGTGAGACGGAAGTCTCGTCAGTAGATGGGGCAGATGACAAGTGCTGTTGACTGGGACGTGAGAATGAGGTCTCAGGTGCATCTAGCGTGGGATCCGAAGTAGATGTAGAGATCCCGCTAGAAGCTTTGATGGGTTTAGCATTGGGTCTCGGCTTATCAGGTAGGGCACTGTCATCGACGTGTGCTGGCATGAGACGATCAATGCTGACGATTTTGACACGGCCAAGTCGATCAACCTTGAAGGTCTTTTCGTGACGGGAAATCACGTGAAAAGAAGCTTCGTAAGGCTGTTTGCTCAGATTGACCGTAAGTTGTCGTGTACCATAGTTGGGAATGACTGAGTCATCCGCAGCGCGTAGTCGAAGCATCGTAGCTTGAGACTTACTGTTACTGATAGGTACGACAGAAACTTGGGTACCTGTATCCACGAGGTAACTAGCGTTAGTGCGATAATCGTGCACGTAAAATAAACGGCCAACCTGAGGTGAAGTGCCGGCGAGTACGGCCGCATTTACTCGCCGGCTGAGGAGTTTCCCGTCTTGTATGAGCAGGGGGCTCGACAATGACGGGCACCGGCCCCGAAAGCACGGTGAAACCAGCACCAACTCGAACTCGCTTCCGAAGCCGCATTCTGGCGTGGCTTGGAAGATGCCTGCTTGGGGCAAGTCGTTACGGCTTTTCGAGATCGTGACCCGGGTCGGGGGACGTAGGGGGCTGGCACATTTGAGCGGTCTCGGAAAGTGAGACGTGTATGGATACATCTGTCCCTATCCTCATCAGCCGGAGGTCATCTAGCATCGAGATCAATGTTAGAACGGAAAGTAGAGGCAACAATATAGTTGTCTTCGGCGCTAACACGTGCTAGAATCTTGTCTGCTATGAGGGCCACCTTGTGCAGTGGGGTGTCCTCGAGCAGGGCCGTAAGAGTTGGTTGGATACTAGCTGGTAATGCTTCGAGCCATAACTCTTTGACTATTTCGGAGTCTGCTGTCGAGTTTACTGCAAGGGATTGCAGGCGCGTGAGGTGGTGGCTCGGCTTAGCATCACCCATAGGGTGACGTGCTAAGAGAGTCCTCAATCGTTCCTCTCTTGATGGGAGGAAATGTCGAAGGATGGCATCCTTAAGACGGTCGTAAACGTTCGGAACGTTCGGATTGAGGACAACCTCACGGACAACAGTTAGGTGATCCCCGGGCAATGATTCCAAAGCGTAGGCGTACTTTTGCCTTTGGTTGGTTATGCGGCGGATCTCAAATTGAGATTTCAGTGCCGCGAACCAGACTTCTGGATCATGAGGGATGAAAGGAACCGGTCGAAAATTGATAGCCTGTACCTCGGAGTCTATCATATTTATACTACTCTTATCGTTATCCACCATGGTAAGTTGCCAAGATATTATATATTGAAAATATCAATACGAATATATGCAACAGAAGTGGATAGATAAATAGACTCACCGGATTGATCTGGTTTGGAGAATTGGCCAAGTTTGAACTGTGCTCGAAGAATTGGGTTACTGGTTGTGGTTCACCAGTTGTGCGTGTCCCCAATACGGCTCACCAGTTTGTAGTGGATGTCGAGTCGAAGACGGACTATGATCACCACTACAATTCGTTTACGCGCCCAAAAACGACTTGGTTCCTTTGATAGCTCGTAAAACAGAAGACTTTATTAATCCAGATCAATTGTATTTATTGGCGATCTCGTGGTATCGAAATAATACCGAGACGTGCCAGAGTACAGGCGAACAGGCAGTGCGTGAGCAAGTTCGAACCAAAGAAGGCGGAGAGCGAAAGCAGAAGTGAAACTGATACAGTTAAACAAATACAGTAAAACAATCTCTGGTACAATTGGTTACAATAATAATAGTTGTTTCCGTTGTTCCAATCGTGTTCTTATCGAGATTGGCCGGTCACTACAAGGTCACACACGACCATCATGTTCTGACGTTATGCTGAACAAATTTATTTTGTATGGTCTGAATATAAATTATCCAATTATCCAAGCTACAGCTAAATAAACTATAATGGCGTCAAGGAATTTCAGACGTCATCACTGACATATCGTCCCATTTGAGATATAGGTTAGATAAGATTAACTGAGCAAAATCTAGTTTAAAATTTGCTTGAAATGGAAAAGTTCTCATAATCTACTTATAAGCCACTGTGTGGGTAATTTACACTCTAAAACTAATCGAACGTGCTATCTTTGGAAAGGTTTATTGTGAAGCAGTTTGGGAAGTGAGGTAATTAACACCACTACCATGAATTTTGTCATGAAACTAAAATCTCATGAGAAATGACTCCTCAGAATGATTGTTTCGACTTTATGAGATATGCTATTTTACCATGAAAAGAAGCTCACCAGTTGCAATATATCTCCAGTGGTGTATGTGCATCTGTTGTTTTAGTTGCTTATTATTTACAACTGTTCACAATTGCGCACAACTAGGAATAGTCTTGGCGGTTCTCTGAATGGTGGGTAGTTTTTTTGCTTATATAAGGAAACCATGATTTTTTTAACCTAATAAAATGTAAAGTATGGATGGATTGGTTGACGAAATAATTTTGTGGTTCATAATATTTCTTGGAGATATGACGTGGTTATTCGTAACCACGCATGTGTGTGTCTTCGATATCATATGCACTCATCAGTTAGGACATATTCTTAGTTGGTGACCCGTTACCTGTAACTTCTCTGTTAGATCTTCATAAATGGCACTGGAACTTTACACTCACAGTCAGAGTATGTAATGTGCATCTGTCTGTCATTAAACTCCTTGTAATCAGTGATGTTATTACCTGTCAGTAAATGTCTTTAGCAATGTATCGTTCTTTAATGTAGTCGGCAGCAGTTATTGTGTGCTTTGTAGCGGAACTGAGGGTGAACAGAGATATTTAGGGCTAGGCAAAAGTATACAGTTCCGCGTGTATTTAGGGGAGAAGTAGCCGACTCTGTGACTTTTCAAATGGAAATTTCTCCTCTTTTTTGGTTGTTTAGGCGAATACGGTATTTGCTACTTAGTCCGTTTATTACTTTTTTAGCCATTTAATCGGTGTAAATTTTTCAAAAAATAACTTGATTCCTTTTATTATTTCCTTATCTGCTTACTAAACCTTGTAGTTATTACAATCATGCGTGCCAAAAGGCATCCAACGGTAATGCTTTCTTGTGATTCAGATCACGATTCTAATAAGGAGGTACGTCCCATTTTTTGTTCTTGTTGATTGTTTTCATTAGTTCACCGATGCTGTTTTACTCGGTTGATGTAAATTTTAATAGAATGAAAGAAGCATCTACAATAACATACTGTCGAACGTGTAAAAGTATTATTACACAATAACGTACTTTAAAATTTTCCAAACATCGGTAGTGCGTAGCAAGGTAACTGAGTAGGTAAAGGCGAGGTTAGATGTAAAAATACTTGATAACAAGTCATATCTGTTGGTAAGGTTGTGGTAATGTTTACTGAGGTGGTGATGTACCTAAACACCGCTTTTGTAGATGCAGGATAAAAGAAAGCCTAGGGTAGCTAAATCGAGTGTTAGCATTAATTCATAGAGTTTTTAAGTGATGATTTAATCCGTGTTAGCAGATTTGGATTATCTGATCATTCACACATTGGTCGAGAACAGTCAGACGGTGGGTGGTATGGTCCGAGGTTAGTCTATGATCCAGATTCATTTACTCTCTGTCTCCAGTATTATTTGATAATGAAGCAAAAGCGTATGTTGATAAAGTGGTTTTGATTCATTTGGGTGTGATAAAATGTCACAAGTGTTTTGTACTGTAGTTGGGGAGAGTCTTTTAAACTAAAGGTGATTTGTATCTGCTTGGTTTCAATTGTTTCTCGAGAAGAAAATATACTGACGACCAAGGCCGCCTTATACTAGGAGTTGAGGCAGATAACGTTGAAGTCTTCAAGTCAAAGACTTCGATGGGATTCTGTCTTTGCAGGTATTGGGCCAACATCATAAAATGCAGACCTCAGTGCTAGTGTGATAATGATGAAAACATTTATGAGGCTGTAGGGACGATTTTAAGTCAGCGTTGGAATCTCATTTCTAGTAGTTGCGTTTATTATACCCTAAAACTAAGGAAACATCTACTTTTCGAATCAGTTCTGTTAGTTATGTGTACACTTTTGAAGTATAAGGGTTTTCCATTTCCCCTATGTAGACCCTTCATATCCACCAACATGGGTAAAGCTCCGGACATTCGCTTTTCGTCTTCTCAACTTCGTAAACAACACCCAAGTCACGAGAAGGTAGTGAGTAGAACTTCCCTGGTAGTTACTGTATACGCGTAGCCATGTGAGAGCATTTCAAGAGGTAGAGTTGACTCCCACCGTCGACCGTACCACGGTATTTGGGTGGTTATGTGGTGTATTACACGAACTGGGTTGCAAGACAAATGACTCGTCTAGTATGCAAGTAAAATTAAACAAGCATTTAAATAATACTGTGGGAATGAAATAGTTGTGAAGGTTATTATTGGATCCGTTTCTGAAATATCAACTTGGAATTCCAATTAATACCCTTGGAGCCACTTTCCTTGTAATGTCACCAAGGCACCCGGGCGTTAGTCAAGTTTATTGTCCAGTACTTTTGATTTCCATGTTGATGTCTGCCTGTATGAAATACTTTGAGCATCGTTCAAATTGCAACAATTTTATTCACAACAGTAGCTTAAATCGTCTTCAGCGTTTTTCTATACTCAAATGCAAAATCACTAAATCCACTAATTTTGGGCCTATGTTTCTTTCACACAGAACTGTACTCATCCGAAGCCATTTAGTTTTGAAGATCGTGAATTATCTTTGATAAAACGCAGAAACGAACGTATAGTCCAAGCAGAATTACATGCTAATTTGCTTGCAAATTCATTCAAAGCTCAACCTATGAGGGTTGGATCACCTGATCGTCTACCTCCACGTGTTGTTCATTCTCCGGTTCATCCAATTTCATTTCACTCATTCACTGAAGAAAGAATAGCACTTCACAGAAGCAGAAGAGAGGTTGGTTTAACTTTACAATCTTCATTATGCATGAACGAATACCACTCCCTTCATTTTTTCTATCCTAAGCCGAAGGCTTCTGGTATTGTTATCCAATCAAATTGTCCTGTGAAAAGTTTCTAAGTGAACATATTTGCATTATACTGTTTGATGAGTCCAACTATAATAGGACGACCAATCCTTACCACTCAAGACGTTGAATAAAAGTTCATATTCTAGATCCTCGGTGATTTAAGCTTAGTCTCTTATTGGTATGAATTCCGAAAATTAACCGTCGTTTACCTGTGACATATTTTTTGACAAAACATACCTGGTCACTGATATCCGATAAGGAGCAACAGTAGAAAATACAAGAAACTTTCGGATAAATATAGTTACATTCACTTGGTGTGTAAAGACCTTTCTGTATTCATATTTCTGTAACAATGAGCTTATTTTTAGAAGACCAGTTGGTATCGTATTACTGACTACCGTCCACTCTAGATACTGAGGAGTTTAAACCATAGTGTTGTAGTTTTCCAGTTTTAATATTTATAAAAAGAAGGGAAGTATCTGTTGTATGTAAATATGCTAAACTTCATCTATCGTAGAGGAAACCAGTGAATTCTGTCCCAAGATTTCGCTTCTTGAAGTTAAGTCGTGTTTACTTCCCAACAATTTATTAGAGTACTGTCTTATGATGGCCAAATCCACGAACCGAATTCCCAAGTCCAATAAAACTGAAGTTTGACAACACATGGTTTCCTTTATATTCACTGTCTATTTTTTCACTTACTGTCCTTAGGCTAGTACATCCGCTGAGGAGTCTATAATTGCAAGAGGAAGAACTAAATCCCCATCAGTCATTTACCGAACACCGTTTATTCCGACTTTTCCAGAGCGTTCTCCAATAGTTGCTGTCCCCCCTAAATTAGCAACCGTGGAGCGCGCAATGTCAAGGTCGAAATATGACGATGAAGCCCAAAGGAGAAGAGATATCCTCCAGCAACAATCGGAAGTCATTAGACTTAAGAGAATGGAGGACGAGGCCAATAAAATAAGACAGATTCGCAAAGAATCTGTACACAAACCGGAACCGATAAGGCGGTATAAAACAATCAAATCTCCCACGCGCAAACCCCCAACGGTACCCAAATCCCCGGTGCTATCAACGTTACGAAAGAGAATACATAAACATAACGATATTTAATTGACTCTTTGTTTTTATTGTACAGAAACCATTCTCATTTACTCAAATGATGTACATAATAGAAATTCAAATTCCTAAATGTATTGACCATTGCTTGAAATAAGTCTTGGTTGTGGCGCCTAGAAGTATTTGTTCATGGCTATTTGCACAGTGCGACCAGTGTTTCGAAAACGTTGCCCTGATGTTCTTTTAGACATCGTTCCGCCGTAAATTTGCTAACTTCGAGTTCTTGACACTGAAATGAAAAACAAGTCTTTTAATCCAACGTGCAATCGAAATACGCAATTACATCTTAAAAGGTGTTGCCAGGCAATGCAACCCATTTTTAAGCAAAATCTTGCTGTATTTAAACATCCACTCTAAGTTCTAACCCTAGAAAAAGCATAGAAATCCGTTCCGTGGGCACCTATTGCTTAGTTCTTGCCACGACACTAGAAGTATGTTTATAAGGACGTGTCAGTTCCATAGAGAGCGGACATCTCACAAAACAGCCACTTTGGCTAATGTGAGTCGTAAGTCGTTGCTTTTGCAAAACACAACGGTAATAAACAGGGATATGAGGAATCAATAAACACAGGTGGTAAAATGCGTCTTTGTGGTCTACCTTAGGCCACCAGTTTAATGGTTTCTGAACTGGAGACTTTATTGGGAAATCCATCAATTACTTGCCGCATATTTCAGACGGACAGTCACGAGCTTCGCTGGTTAGTATCAACTTTTTCACTGACTAGCATTGGTTTATGTACATGGTGGTCTAGAAGACATAACACACTTGTTACGCTCTAAATAAGGATGCGGAAATGAAAAGGAGTAATTGAAAGCTATGTTAGAATAACTGTACAGTCGTGTCAGAGAGTAAGCTATATTGGACGTATATAATGAAAGTTGCATATATCAGCTTGGGCGAAGCCAGTGTGTTGCACTTGTTTGGTTTAATCAAGAGAGTGGTGGAGATGAACGAAAATGCCAGTGGTCAGGAAACAGCGTCCCTGTACATATTCAAATCATTTATTGATATCTGTAAGGCAATAAAGGATAAAAATGGAACGAAATTGATCAGGATCACAGAGAATTCGCTCACTAACATAGTGACAAACACAGCGACCTGTAGCTTTCCTCAGGTTAGTACTACAATATTTACAATCATTGATGTAGGTCCAAGTGATAATTTGACACTCGTTTGCTTAGACCTAACCCATCGAACTTGATTTATATTGGCTTTTCAGGCGTTTGCCCTTATACTCTTCTCATAATACCAGTCAACCCTCGATGATTTATCAAACCATAGATAATCACAATACTTCTGATACATAGGTTTGTAGAATTAGAATTCATATGCTTTAGTTTTGATTTACAATTAGACTAACCTTGAATGCGAATGAGCAAATAACACCCCCAGCAGATTGTGTATGTAGGCTTAGAAGCAAAACATTCAAATAAATCGACATTTTGATGGCGTGGCTGAATACAATTTACGGTCACTCCTACAGGAAAATGTCTGAATTAAGCAAGATCACTGATAATAAGTTTCTCGAAAAACTGCATACGTATTGGAGGATGAAGATATACTCCTAAGTGGTTTGGAACCAGTATTATTCATTGGTATTTTGGGTAGGCCTCACATCTATATATTTAGTTGCATTGTAAATTGGAAGCAGTTAATAAGTATATACTAGCACCCATACTTCCTCGTTCGTCGAGAAGTTCAGTGCAACGCATTAAATTTCCACCTTCTGTACAGTAGAAATAATTAACACTTAGAACTGGTTGTTTCGGTGTACGGTTTGATTGGCATGAACTTTCGATTAAGTCAACGGTAGCCAAGTTAATAAAAAGTGTAGAGTGAACTGGAAATAGTCCCTATATGAGTATATGCCTGATCTTTAGATTTAAGGGTTTCTGTACGATCTCCCCAAAAGTTCCTATAGGGACTTCCCTTAAGCACAAAATTTTCCAAAAATAGGGAGATCGGGTGGTAGCATTATACCGTCCTATACTAGCTAAAAATATCAACTAACTTGAGTTAGTGATCTTAAAGGTAATTACGATTAACACTTATGTAAATTGTCTAAAAGTGTGCTAAATCCAAGTTTTGACATCGAACATAAACCAGACAAAAACCACTAAGAATTTTGCAATCAACATTTACAAACACAACATGAATAAAGCGCAGATACGTAAAAGCATATACAACCTACAATGAGTGACACATCTTCGTTTTTGACTTTAATCTTTAACATTAGTTTTTGTTTCTGAGCTTTGTCAGCATCACCAGCTGTATCTGACACAGCTTTGACTGCATCTAGGCCAACACTAAGCTCCTTCTCTTCAAAGTAATCAGTAACACGTTCCAGATCTGCTGCACCACGCTCATCGTGTGTTGTAGGTTTCTTAGGCTTTTCATTGTCTTCTGGGTCCTCCGTCATGGGTAACTTTTTAGTAGTTGACCTACAAAAGTTGGTGAGGAGCGCAACCACAAGGTTATTCAGTGGGAAGTCAAAACAAACAAATTCAGTAGTTCCGACCAAATAGCAATACCCTTTACCCGAATGACTTCTATGCGAAGAGCTAAGAGTCATTAATTCCTTTAGATGGTGGCATGGTTACAGAGGAAATAAATCCATAAACAGTTGTAGATGGAATATAAGAGGCTTTCTTGTAACATATTTCCGTGTCTTGCAGCATTGGGTCACCGTTAGATCTGCACGGCACACTGTTTTAGGTCCCCGACAACATATCAGGCTCCGTATTGAAGGAATCATGTGAATTTATTGAGACTACTGAGTGAATTTCAAAAGATGACTACTCATGATGGGTAGGGAATATGCCAACAGTCCATTTAACTGCATTGTACTTCTAATTATCCGGTTATTTTCCTAGCGTCTGGGTTGGATCTGAATTTACGAAGATATTCTAAAAGGTTATAAAGGGCATTTATGATTCCGTAAGTCACTAGAGGGTTGAATCTCATTCACTTACATTCTTAAAGGTAAGAGATTCAGTGATATAAAGCGTTCCTCAGTTGTGCTTTGATCTGACTCCACAAAATAGTTCCACGGCTCAACTGTGATTGAGCTTAGGAATATTCATTTTAATTTAGAGTGTAGGAGAGAACGCTATATTTCAGTACTGTAAACGGGGAAGAATAAAACTAAAGATGTCACAGGTAGGTGGGGTTTTTTTATACCTTTACATGCAACACCTTTATGACTGGAGTATGCCAATCCAGCCAAATCAGAAGTCATAAATGAAGAGATTCGGAGGTATGTTCGAAAGATTACCGATATATCGGTGATCATTCAACCTAAGTTGTCTAGCCGTCGCAAGCGATGCGTAGCAGGACATACCCACCCGTGATCTGATGCGGATGGGTGACCGAGAGTATTCAGCTAGATGCGTCCAATAAGACTAATGAGGTGGACGTCAAATGTTGACGACTTACAGGAATATTGATTTTAGGGATTTATTTACCTCTGCAAAAACTTAGTGAAAGATCATACTGTCACTCTTGGTCGCAAAAGCGTTCCAAACTTGTTGGTGCAAGGCTGGGTTGAAAGACACTTTTGTCTCAGTCAGAATAGTATTTTGGGTCGTACAGAATTAAGACATTTAGATGTCTTTCGATTGATTATACTTCTAGGAGGGAATGATCTTGGTTGTGTGCATCGTGTGAGCTATGTCGCAAATGGACTACTTTACACTTTGAAAGGATAGTAGTTGGTCCACTGTTAATCATAAAAGTTAGAAATCAAGACATAATCCCCTAGATGCTAGCCCATCACTCTGGATCCAAACTTCGATTCAACGAGGATCACGTCTTAGGAAATTGAGGAGCTCGTCGACATAGCCTCTGAAATTTTAAAGGAAAGAGCATTGACCATTAAATATTTTGATTGAATACTGATGTCTCCCATTTCATATTTATTAATAGCTCAAATACGGACGCGGAAACATCCCCTTAGTTGATATTTGCTAACATTCATGTGATCAGGCATATCTCCCACTGGAGATAGTTTTACTGGAACTAGGAAAGAATATTCATGGATAACCTAAACATTAAACTTTGATATAAGTGTGACATTGAAGGGAGGCAATCTGTCTGGTCGGAACATTCTTAGTCATGTTCTATTGACGTGGGTCTCCACTATAGTGTCTACATCACTCAACTTTACTTCAAGATGAAAACTGTTAAGCAAGGTCAGAAATTTCAAACAGAGCGTACGATTGTGCAAACACTGCGCAAGAGATAACATTGAATAACAGGTTTTATTTCTACCCATTTTTTTTAAGCTGGTAAGGAACCTTTCTGAAATAAACTGTAATTATTTTTGTGCATCAATCACTTTGACCTGTTGACCTTGATGTGTTTCTAAGCCTGTAGGTATGTAATTGTAAAAAAAGTATCTGGAGCCTATTGCCTTTGACGTAAACGTTGTGAACATTCAGTGGCTAATCACTTTAAACTAGTACACACTGATTCATATTAGGTTTCCTGATCAAAGTATTTGATGTCTCCGTTTATAATAATCGCTATTCGAGGGTGCTAATTGAAATGATCTGTATCAACTCGATTCAATAAGTAGAAATTGTTTCTTCTCTTCGGGTAAAACTAAAACTCGTTCATGGTTCACACAAAAATACACATAGAAGTTAGTTCATAAAGCTCATTTAAAAAATATATAATAAAGCTTTTCAAATTGTACATCTAGGTCTCCTAACGTTTTATAGTTTTGGGTGGAATTTCTTTGTTTTCTAGCTGATATACCGTTATGTTAATGCTGTATATTCAATGACTTCAAAACCTTTCCCTGATGGACTTGTTACCCAGGCCTTTTCTCCTTATCAGGTAAAGCTGTATTTGGTAGAGCAAATAAAAGTACAAATAGTTGTTTTGCCTCTCTCAGTGATAACCTCACTATCAGATGACCAATCTTCGAAGATAGAAGTACATTCGTCACCAAAATAGTAACTTGGCTGCAATTCTGTGTAGTCTTGATGTTTGAGATTCAGTACAGGCCTACAATACTTACAGAATTAGGGATGACTGTGCTACTACAATACGAGCGGTTGCATCACGTAAATAAAGAAAGACGACTGGTACACAGTACATCAATAAATCACCGTTAATACGGGTGGGAGATGGAATTCAGGAAAACCCGATATTCGAAGTAGGATAAGTAGGATAAATGGAACTGTTACAGCTCTAAGTATATGGTAACAAAAGCATAACTCTCAGGAATACAAAGATTTTGAGAGCTAAGAGCGATGGCAAAAGTCGTATGGAAGACTTAATAAGAAAAAAGCGCACCTCTTGTTATTGTTTCCAGAAGAATTTTAGCATCATTAACAAAATTTCAGTAATCTTGTCATCACCTTAGCGATTTCACAGTTATTTCACTGACTATATGTTCCTTTGAGAGAAAACCTAGGTAATTAACAATGTAATCAGTGGATTAATAGTTGAAAAGAAGAAATTGCTGCTTAGTTAAAAAAGTGATTGGTCAGCAAAACCTACACAGTATTAAACCCTATCAGCAAAATTAGATGAGTAAAGAACGAAGTGTTCGAATAATTCAGAATGGATATGATTTTCATCTTCGTAGATAATACAATTATTAGGATTTACACCACTTTCTCCTCCCTTCATGGGATGAACAACTTCAGAAATTTTGAAAAAATTAAAGAACATAGACGCCCTCGAATCATCCAATCAGATTACACTCATTCGCTATTGAATTTGAGCAACGTAATTTTAAACAAAGTGAAAGATATCATAAGCAGAGATGGATAGCGGATAGCAGTGGAATACAGGACGCTCCTTTCCTCCTGAATAACAATGGGAAGATACAAGTAAACAACACCAAGTGAATTTAAACTTCAACTCATTGCATAAGCAAATAGCTATCAGGACTCAGTAGCGAAGTGGATAACGCGATGGCGTTTGAAGCGAACGGTACTGGATTCGAGTCCCAGAGTGAACATCAACTCTGAGATGCAGGTACATCCAGCTGATGAGTCCCAAATAGAACAAAACGCACGTCCTGGATTCCACTGCTAGCCACTATCCATATTTGTTTATAAAGCTTGTGACTTCAGGCAATATCGTGGCAGTCCGCACAGTATGCACATATGCCAACAAGAGACTGATCAATTGCAGTCCTAAATAACGATGGGAGATTCAAGTAAACAATACGAAGTGAATGAAAATTATTATTCACAGACACTTATTAACAAAGGGTTACCACAAAACTGTTTCATACGATTGATGACTTAAGAAATATGTTATAACGTGTGGGTGTGCGTGTGCCCTGTTTGATATATGAACGTTTTACGACCACCCAATGAGAGAGGAGTGAGTTATCGATCGGATCAATAATACACAAAAGCCGTATGAGCTATCGTCAGTACTACTCGGTCCTGCTATCTGCCTCGCCCAGCCAGTTAAGTCCAGAACACCAATAACAGCCTCGGCAATATGTATCATTATTCATAAACATACTGGGTTTATATATCAACCAAACAGACCACATCGTACCACAAAATAGAAAACAATATTTGTACAATGATTGATCAAATGTGGCTGTGAAAAGGGGAAAGTAATCACTAGACTGATGATAACTCAAGGATCGTATAATAATAGTTCAAAGGTCAAAATAAAGCTTATGATAAGAGGAATACGAATATGAATAGTTTAGTTACGCAACAATTATACAATAGGAAATAGACATCTTACCATTCACAATTCTCTTCGGGATACAACAAAATAGTATTATCAAATTAAGATGAATTAAACTCACTGAATGTACCTGAGTGATGAACGGAAGTTTGAAAGTGTTTCCACATTTGAGTGAGTGTTCGCTCGTTATCTGATTTAGAACGCTATTGATTTCTTTACATGTGATAGCTTTTAGTCAGGTCTTGAAATTACATAAAAACTTAAAGAGAACTACGGAGTTTTAGTGTATATATCCATATGTTTGGCAGTGCTTCATTATGCCAGTTATTCGATAATTCCATTTTCTTTTAGATCAAAACTGATTTGAGTTAGGAACCATATTTAGTACACCAACTCGTGAAAAAATATGCGACAGTTCAATTTGAAAAGAGCAATGAATATTATTAGAGAATGAACAGTCAACCTTTAGACTACCGATCTTATTATTTACCAAACTGGGTTACTAAACTAAAGCATTTGTCAAGTTATAAGTTTACTAGTGTTTCTCGGTAACCGATAAAGCGTTGATCTTTTACTTCTATGATATTTAGTTTGAATCCTTCAGTGACCCCAGTCCTCCTACGACTTTATTCATTATCATTCCACATATAATAAGGTTTCTCAATAGAAGCTGTCGTACCGTATAATCAATAAAGACTGTTATACAAAAGCAGTTACTTGATGATATATTGTTGAACCTATTTAAATTTTTCACATCATACCTAAAAGCAAATTCCTTACCATGAAGTAGAATGGAATTTTCAAAATTTACGTATTTACCAAAGATTAGAGTAAC